GGTTTTTAAGATGAGGCTGGATGTGGCACTGAGTGCCATGATCTAGTAATCACAGTGGGGTTGGATCAAGGGTTGGACTTGATGATCTCAGAGGTCTCTTCCAACCCAGTTAATTCTATGATTCTATGATTCTAAAGACATGAAGACTGGTCCCACTCTTTCAATAAACACATCCTGGGCTTATTTGGCTAAACCTCTTCATTCTGCTTTGAAGCCTCTGGGCATCACAGGCAGAAGCTAAGCAGGGCTTCTGCTCCTTTCCACAGCAGTGATTGTCACCTGATATGCCTGTATCCAGAAAACTGCTCAGCCAACCCTCTCATCCACCCATAGCACCTCAAACACTTTCACCAGTCCCGTTCTTCCCCAGCAAAGAACAGTCCAATCATCCCTCATAAGTTAACAAAACAAATTGCCTTGAAATCCCCTTTCTATTGGGGATTTCTAAAGCGCTTGTATAAATACATTAATAACAAAAGGAGGGGTAAGGAAAACCTCCATTCCTTGTTGGACTTGGGGAGAAACATAGTTAACAGGGATGAGGAGAAGGTTGAGATACTTAACACCTACTTTGCCTCAGTTTTCACCAGTAGGACAGGTGGCCCTCAGGACAACAGGGACAGGAAGCCTAATAGTCACCCTGTGTTCCAGGAGGAAACAGTCATTGACTCACTGAGCCACCTGGATCCACACAAGTCTGTGGGACCAGATGGGATCCATCCTAGGGTGATGAGGGAGCTGGCAGAAGAGCTCGCCAAGCTGCTCTCCATCATTTACCAACAGTCCCGGCCCTCTGGGGAGGTCCCAGATGATTGGAAGTTGGCGAATGTCACACCGATCTACCAAAAGGGCTGCAAGGAGGACCCGGGAAACTCCAGGCCTGTCAGCCTGACCTCAGTGCCTGGCAAGGTTATGGAGCAGATCATCCTGAGTGCAATCACACAGCACCTACAGGATGGACAAGGGATCAGAGCCAGCCAGCATGGGTTTAGGAGGGGCAGGATTTGTCTGATCTCCTGATCTCCTTTTATGATCAGGTGACCCGCCTGGTGGATGAGGGGAAGGCTGTGGATGTGTCTATCTGGACTTCAGCAAAGCCTTTGATACTGTCTCCCATAATATACTCCTGGAAAAGCTGCAGCCCAGGGCTTGGACAGGGTCACCCTCTGCTGGGTTAGGAACTGGTTGGAGGGCCGGGCCCAAAGAGTGCTGGTGAACGGGGCTGCATCCAGCTGGCGGCCGGTCACCAGTGGTGTCCCCAGGGATCAGTGCTGGGCCCAGTCCTGTTTAACATCTTTATCAATGATCTAGATGAGGGGATTGAGTCCACCATTAGCAAATTTGCAAATGACACCAAGTTGGAAGGGAGTGTCGACCTGCTGGAAGGCAGGAGGGCTCTGCAGAGGGACCTGGATAGGCTGGAGAGTTGGGCTGATTCCAACGGGATGAGATTTAACAAGGCCAAGTGCCGTGTCCTGCACTTTGGCCACAACAACCCCCTGCAGTGCTACAAGCTGGGCACAGAGTGGCTGGAGAGCAGCCAGGCAGAAAGGGACCTGGGGGTGCTGATTGACAGGAAGCTGAACATGAGCCAGCAGTGTGCCCGGGTGGCCAAGAAGGCCAATGGCATCCTGGCCTGTATCAGGAACAGTGTGGCCAGCAGGAGCAGGGCAGTGATCCTTCCCTTGTACTCAGCGCTGGTGAGGCCACACCTGGAGTGCTGTGTCCAGTTCTGGGCCCCTCAGTTCAGGAAGGATATTGAGGTGCTGGAGCAGGTCCAGAGAAGAGCAACCAGGCTGGTGAAGGGACCTGAGCACGAGTCCTATGAGGAGAGGCTGAGGGAGCTGGGGTTGTTTAGTCTGGAGAAGAAGAGGCTCAGGGGTGACCTCATCACTCTCTACAACTACCTGAGAGGAGGTTGTAGCCAGGTGGGGGTTGGACTCTTCTCCCAGGCAATCAGCAATAGGACAAGAGGGCACAGGCTTAAGCTCTGCCAGAGGAGGTTTAGTTTGGATATTAGAAGTTCTTTAGAGAGAGAGTGATCAGGCATTGGAATGGCCTGCCCAGAGAGGTGGTGGATTCACTGTCCCTGGAGGTTTTTAAGATGAGGCTGGATGTGGCACTGAGTGCCATGATCTAGTAATCACAGTGGGGTTGGATCAAGGGTTGGACTTGATGATCTCAGATGTCTCTTCCAACCCAGTTAATTCTATGATTCTATGATTCTAAACCCCCTGGTGGTCTAGCGGTAAAAGGCGCCGCGCTATCACCTCGGAGACCCGGGTTCGATTCCCGGTCAGGGCCACTCCCGGGCAGGTGGGGCTCGTTAGCCCTTAAAGGCAACCCATCTACGTCCTAAGGACCTCGCTGCCACCGTCCAAGCTCGCTTGGCCCCGGCAGATGAACCTTAGGATTAAAGGGTGGGCTCAGTTCCGCGCACACTGTGTCTCACCTAAAAAATCCAATGCGCAGGCTGGAAGGTGGAAAGACCTTCCCCGGATCTTCGCTCGCGAAGACTGGCCATTATTATGATTCTAAAGACATGAAGACTGCTCCCACTCTTTCAATAAACACATCCTGGGCTTATTTGGCTAAACCTCTGCTTTGAAGCCTCTGGGCATCACAGGCAGGAGCTAAGCAGGGCTTCTGCTCCTTTCCATAGCAGTGATTGTCACCTGATATGCCTGTATCCAGAAACCTGCTCAGCTATTCCTCTTTCTTTCACTAGCTGAGCAGCACAGCCCTTCGTGGCAGCCTCCTGGCACACAGACAGCTTGTTTTTTGTTCACAGAAGCCTCTGCTGGACTGGGAGCCCTTGGGCTTTCCCATGGCAACCTTGTTTGTGCATTGGGCAAGGGACGTCAATAATGCATGGCATCCAAGGCCATGAGGGAAACAGCTCAAGCACACAGTGTAAATGTTAATTAGAGCCCAGCAGACAGGTCTGAAGCCAGTGAGCTTAAACAGACTTTCTGGTTACATGACCAACATTAATTTAGTGCTGGAGATGCCCATGAAGCTTTGTAGACCAGTGGGAAAGACACAAGTATCAGTAACAAGAACAAGCTCTTCTCCAAAGTCACCTCCGCTGACAAAAATTAATGTGAGCTAAATGCCAACATACAAAAAAGGTGGGTATGAAGGTTTTTTTATACTTAAAATGTTCACTTTTATCAACCCTGAATTCCAAGGGACAGGAAAAGAGAGAAAAAGACTGGACAGAAAACAAAAAGAATACAGATACTGCTATATATGCCTCTGTTTTGCCCAGCCTTGGGGAGCATCTAGAACTCCTTGGCTTTTCCTTATTCTTTAGACACGGTCCCCTAATCAGCATGGTCCTGAGGACTTGCAGACAGGCAATACTCTCTACAAACACTCCTCCACCAAGTGCTGGAATGAAAAATAAATCAAATTATCCAAAGAGTGACAAGAGAATTGTGCAGGGTATGCACCCCAATGCCATGAAAGCCAAGCAGAGAGGAGTTAAGATAGAACACAGCAAGGTAGAAAAACCTGCAGCTTCAGCATCTTCATTCTCAGGGAGCCCTGTTGTGGAATACTGTAGCACCACTGTGTGTTGAAGCCAATACCTGAAACAAAAACCTCAGGAAAAGAGTGTTTCAGTTTGCTTAAAGGAGATGTGTTTTGTAAACAGAGCTCCTGAAAGAAAATGGGAAAGGAAACGACCACTTTACACTTTAGAGCATAAACACAAAGACTCAGAAACACTAAGGTCAGGGGAAATTATGGCATCAATACATTGGACTCAGAATTATATTGCATCTTCCCTCTAAAGAGCCCACAGCAGTTTTCATTCCCACAAGTGGCACTTATCTCTTCATGAGGTGATGATACACACGGTGTTAAAATACACCAGGAAACTCAGCACTCCAAAACTCTCTTAGGACCTCAATAAAGAAACTGCAAAGAGACCAGTAGTTCTCTTTTCTGGTGACAACTGTCTGTGGCAGGGTAAAAGCTGGGACTGGGTCAGCTGAAATGCTGAGGCCTTTCAAAAAGAACTCAAAACCCAGAGGTTCTGTATTAAGAGCTGCCAGATAAACATTATCACAGCTTTACCTGTGGGGATCAGGGTCTTGCAGATCAATGGATACAGTATCTTGCCTACAGCTTGCCAAATTTTTCTGATGAAGAACACAGGGATTCCACAAAATTGATGTGATCTGTGAAAATATGCTTGTTTCAACTATTTCTGTAAGTTTCAGGATGGCACATTTGATACTTTTTCTCAAATTCTTCCATGGTATTATAAAATCATCTCCATTTTGAGTAACCCTAATTCTAAGCAGTGAAAACCTATCTATGTACCACCTACCTCAGACACATTTCCAGATCAGACTTTGACGAGACAAAAGCCTATTTCCAGTGCTTCTTCAGTATAGAAGTGGACTAGAAATTGCTGTATGCCTGGGAAATCATAGAGAATATTTTAACTCCTCTAAGGGTTGGAAAAAACTCACTATACAATGGGATGTAGGCAAATATGCTCTCAGCTGTAAGTGTGCCCTAGAGGAGAAGGATGAGATCTGCCAGATACAAGCACCTCACAGCACCAGTCCCCAGTGAGGACCCACAAACTGGAACAGAGACCTCCATGAGGCAGCAGCAGATCAGCCCAGTTTAGGATTGTCCAGAGCCCCTCTAACACCCTCTGGTGATCCAAGGCACTGGACCACCACACTCACTCTGCTTTGCCTCCTAATTCATTGAGGATCATGTGGTTCTAAACTAAGGCACCTTTGGTTCCCCACATTGCTAATCTAGTTAAGTGCATATTGGCCAATTGCAGGTTTAGGCCTTCCTGGTAACCAGCCTGTAACCAAGGAAGCAGCCATGTACCCAGTATTCCATATCATTTTTACGTAAACCAGGGTATAAATAAGTTGGAGATTAGAGACCTCCCTCTCTTCTCTTCTGGTGAGGTTCAGGAGCAGTGGCTCACTTATCTAGTGGCTCAGGCTGCAGTGACCGCTGTTCTGCCACGCGGGAGGTTGGAGAGTGCTGGCCGTGTCTGGCGATCTTGTTTGTCTGAGGGACATGGTGAGATTTGTTTTGATAGTTCTTTTATTTTGCTAATTCTTGGGTTTGATTGTGCACATCTATCCTGGTTTTGTCCCTTTTTTCCCCTTTCCCTTGGGGGGTGTTTGGATCGCCTTAGCTGTGTACATAGTATTTTAATTGTATATAACTGTAATATATGTAAATATATATATTTTTATATAATTAAATTGATTTTGGGTTCTTCAAGTTTTATAGGTTTTTTTTCCTTTGCCCTAAGAAAAGAAGGGAGGGGGAAGGAGTTGTTACTGTGAGTTCAGGCATTTGGAAGGGAGCCAAGTCCGAATCATCACACTACCCCATTTCATTTGTTGCCATGGGTGAGATATTATTGTTGCCATTACCATAGTTATCTATACTTATAAACCAACATGGGAGGGAGCCAGAGTGGTGGCATTTTTAAAAAGAGCCCATTAGGGTGCATTTTAGCACACTGGAGAAGTATAGGGAGACCCCCTGGAGGGAGCGTAGATAAAAAAACTCTTATAAAGTATTTCAATCAATGATGGCCTGTTTATAAATTAGATGAAGGAGAAAAATGGCCCCAAAATGGAACACTCAACTCTAATACTCCTTTGCAACTCATGCTTTTTCTACGAGAGAATAAATGGAATGAAATGGTTTATGCAGATATGTTCTTCTCCCCTAGAAACTACCCAGAATACCAGCCATCCCCTGGTATTAAGCTTGGAAAACAAACATTAAAAAGAGAGTAGGGTTTGAGGCATTGCTGCTCTGCTTGCAGCATTGGACAGAAGTGTACTAGATTATGGAAAGAACAGTATTTAGAGCAAGAGAATTCACTGAGATGCGACAGGGCCTCTCTAGACAAAGGAAAAGAGCTCGTCTTAATTTTAAGAACTCCTCCTGAGAGCCTGGTGCCCTCCCGGACGAGAGGGCAGCTTGAAAAGAAAGGACAAGGGGTTCTCCAAGCTCCCCTATGGGAAGCTATGGGTACCGAAGGACCAGCATTAAAGTCCCTTTCAGCTCGTTTGATCTGGACAGTTGGGAAAAAGCAGCTTCGAGGTGCCGCGAAGACCCACTAGATGTCACCAAACGCTTTCAGTTCCCGGTGAAGCAGCACAATCCTGACTGGGAAGATATTCAGCTGCTGTTGGACAAAATCACAGAGACTGGAAAACAATTGATTCTTCCAACAGCCCAGCGAATAGCGACAGATCAAATAGGTAATGGAGAAGAGGTGAAAGGACACTTTCCCCTCCAGAACCCAGGACGGGACACTGGTCGGACAGTGTGCATGACTAAACTAAAAGCATAGAGGGACTGGGTGATCAAAGGGATGGAACGTGCTATACCTAAATCAATGAACTGGTCAAACCTTTTTGAAATACAGCAGGGTCCTCAAGAATCTCTGTCAGGATTTTTAGATAGATTAAGGAATGTAATGAGGCAGCACACTCCTCTGGACCCAGGATCAGAAATTGGGAACCAACAGTTAGTTAATCTGTTTATCAGGCAGTCATCTTCCGACATTAGGAAAAAGTTACAGAAGCTCAAAGCCCCTGAGAACAGGAACCTGGAGAAGTTCTTAAATGAAGCCTGGAAAGTGTTTATGTTAGCATACTAAACTTTCTTGGTTTAACTGGGTACTGAGTTTCTTCACAGAAAGCTCAAGTAGCCATGCAGCAGGTCTCCTACCTCAGTTATGAAATTACTGCAGGACAACGAACCCTAGGAACAGCGAGCAAAGAAGCTATCTGCCAAACTCCCCAGTCACAGACAATAAAAGAACTCGGAACCTTTCTCAGAATGGCCGGATGGTGCTGCTTATGGATCTACAACTATGGACTTCTGATAAAGCCAGTTCATATAGAACTCATTAAAGGTGAGTCCAAAATACTCACCTGGGGAAAGGAAGCTGACAAAGCTTTTCATGAACTAAACAAAAACTGATGAGGGCTCCAGCCCTTGGGTTACCAAGTGTTACCACACCCTTTTTTGCTATTTTCCCATGAAAAACAAGGAGTTGTCCTCAGAATTTTGGCTCAAGATGTGGGACCGTACTGAAGACCAGGTGCCTATTTTTCCAAGTAATTAGACGAAGTAAGTCAGGGATGGCCCAGCTGCCTCAGGGCAGTAATAGCTGTGATAACCAACATACAAATTCACACTGGGCCAGAAAATTACAGTCGTGGTCTCTCATATAGCATTATCAGTATTAGAAGTAAAAGGAGGTCATTGCCTGTCACCTCAGCACTTTCTGATATACCAGGCCATAATGACTGAATAGGATGATACGGAGATAGTGGTCACTAATATTGTCAGTCCAGCTTCTTTTCTCCAGGGGACCACTGGAGATACAGTCACACATGACTGCCTAGAGACAAGAGAGGTGGTGTACTCCAGCTGACCAGACTTGAAAGAGGAACCCCTGAAGGGTGCTGAGGACTCCTCATTCATAGATGGGAGCAGTTGTCTGGAAAGGAGTACGTAAAGCTGGATATGCAGTAACCACTGTAAATGAGGTAATAGAGGCAAGAGCCCTCCCTGTCAATACCTCAGCCCAGAAAGCAGAAATTATAGCGCCAACCCGAGCACTGCAGCTCACAAAATGAAAGAGGATAAATATCTGGACTCAAAATACGCATTCGGAGCTGTTCATGCTCATGGGGCAATTTGGAAACAAAGAGGACCATTATCTGGGCAAAGAAAGTCCATTAAATATGCAGATGAAATCCTAGAACTATTACAAGTAACCAAGTTGTCAGAAAAAGTTGCTATTATGCATTGCAAAACTCACCAAAAAGTCGTTACTGACCATGAAAGAGGAAACGCCATGGCTGATAGTGAGGCGAAAAGGGCAGCCAAAGCAGAAGAAAGCAAAATCCAATCTTTGACCCCTGACAGTAAGATTGAAATTCAGCAGTCTAATATAGAGCCTAGATACTCTAAAGAAGACCAAAAGTTAATCCAGGATTTAGGAGGAGAAATAAAAGAAAACAAATGGGTCAAGACACTGCAGGGTAAGTTAGTCATACCTTTTTCTATTTTATGGGCCCTTATCATGGCAGAACACAAGAACACACATTGGGGACCAGAAGCTCTATTCAAATATCTAAGCCAGAATATAATAGCACGAAATCTCTATACCACCGTGAGGCAGGTGACCCAACAGTGTGAAATTTGTCTGCAGAATAACCCGGGGACCCGTAACAAAATTCAGCTAGGGAAAATAGGGAAAGGTAATTATCCAGGACAACAGTGGTAAATTGATTTTTCAGAACTGCCCAGAAAAGGGGGGTATAAATATTTGTTTGTTCTGACACTTTTTCAGGTTGGCCAGAGGTATATCCTTGCCAAACTAATCAAGCCAGGGAAGTGGTAAAGGCACTGTTACAAGAAATAATCCCCAGATTTGGTGTCCCAGCAACCATGTCCTCAGATTGGGGATCACATTTTATGGTCGAGATCGTCCAAAGAGTAAGTAGACTTCTGGGAATAGATTGGAAACCACACACTCCCTATAGGCCACAAGCTAGTGGGCAAGTAGAAAACCCAGATCATAAAAATGGGACAAGAAGCAGGATTACCATGGCCTAAGTCTTGGCCCTTGGCACTGTTACGAATAAGAACAAAACCCAGTAGCAAAGAGGGTCTGAGTCCTTTTGAAATACTTTTGAAATACCTTTTAAAATTTGAAAGGGTTTTTTTGGTACAGGAGGGAGTGTCAGGTAAAGTGGGAATAGAAACATTAACAAATTATATTGTACATTTGCAGAAGCAGCTTAGAAATGTTGAAAAACTAGTCCTTGGGACACGAGCTCGTGGCCCTGATGGGCCAATTCATAATATTGTACCTGGAGAGGACATGTTGTATGTAAGATCTTTTACAGGCAAACCCCTGGAGCCAAGGTGGAGAGGTCCCTATCAAGTGCTACTGACTACTCGCACTGCAATCAAAGTTCAACAGCAACTTCCTTGGATACATTACACCGGAGTCAAGAAGGCCCTGAGACCTGTATGGACAATGCAGCCAGCAGGGAATTTGAAAATAAAACGAAGCGTAAAGCATCAAATGAGGACTAAAGATATTCTGAAACTTCTGACTCTATTGCTGTATACAGTAACAGAAACAAGGACCTGGACTGAAAATATGTAGGTATGAAATTTAGAAACTTTACTAAAGGTCGCAAATGCTACAGATTGCTGGATATGTAATGCCTGAGGAGAAATGAATCTACCATTATATGGAATGGCTGCCAAAACCTGGAAAAAGGACAACGGTACTTGGCCTGCATTCTGGGCAAACAAAGGAAACCCCGATAACGGATTTTGTGAAAAGGACACTGAAACCAACCACCCTTTGGGACCAAAGTTGGATCTGCAGATACTACAAGAAGGGAGTTTTGCGGTGTTAGTGAGCAGTAATAGCTGCCACTGGGAAACTGGCCATTACAACACAGGTCCTCTTTTCTATGAATTTTGTCAATAAGGATGGAACAAAGACCAGATCAATCAAACAACTGTACCTGTAGGAAAACGCCATTTTACTACTATTAATGTCACATATATCGATTTCTGACTTGCTAAACCTCATGGCCTACAGTAATTCCAGCTGTTTCTCACTTCCTTCATTCTGAAGGACTCAGCTGCTCTCCAGGAACACAGGTACACAAAGCCAGTCACGTGAAAACAAGCTGCAGAAACACTGGTCTTATTGAATAGAAAACACTGACAAGGAGAGGGCTGTGAGAGACAGCAGGAAAGGTAACCAGGGAACATCAAACCCTCAGAATTTATTTGGCTTCTAATGTTGCTTACACTCAACATTAGAATCTTCCTTCCCTTCTGTGCTTGCAAGGACCACCTTTGCACGTGTTCCCTGATGTGGAACTTGTCCTGCCATCCCAAACTTCTCTAAATTGGCCTTCACAGAGAAAATTGGCCTTCACACAGAGAGAAAATGCTTCTTGCATAACCTTAGCACCATCTCCTAACCAGTGACACCTGCACCAGTAAAAACACTCAAGCAATTGCTCTGGAGATGTCAAATGTGTTCCCAAGAGAATCCCCATCCCCCAGGAGAGGGAGACTAGCATTTTCAGTGACATTTTGTGCTAAGCACTCAACAGTCCCTGAAAAGGAAGCCTGCTCATCCCTGTCCTTAGCCCTTACCCTTCCACTGCTCTCCTTCCAAGTCGTCATCCCTTCTAAAGCGAGGACTCGTGAGATGATCCATCTCCTGGGTCTGTCTCAGTGGCAGGCCTGTCAACAGAAGCACAGGCCCATGTAAATGCCCAGCAGACTTCAAGCCGCCAAAAACGTGACACTGGGGAACAAGGCCACCCAGGTTCCAGATTGCAGAGCTCTCAGAAGACACAGAGCTTACGTATGAGAACAGCAAGGCACCTAGACCTAGAACCTCTCCAAACAGATGGGCTACTGCCATATTGCACTGGCAGCCGAAATGACACTGCTCTGTTGGCCCTCAGACTCAAACCTACTGCATGATAAAGGCCTCGGCCCTCGGCTCCTGCTGAGCAGCTGTGTTTGATAGAGGAGGGCAAAGAGATGCACTTTGCTCTTGCCACAGAGATTTTCTCTGTTCCTCTCCATGCTGATTTTAGTAAACATCCTCTTTTTCCCAGTTCCTACAAGAACTCCTGGTTTTAAATACCTGTGTGTTATTTGTTGGAATCTTTGAGAGGGCATTGAAAGAAAAGCTCTGGACCGCTAGCTAGAGCGTTTCCCAAACCTGAACTGTCTTGTTGAAGCTAGATAATTCATTTTCCCCAGGGATTTTCAGTCTCAATTGTATGAGATCAGGCCACTTTCTGGCCAGCCTGATTAAAGGCTGATTTTCTTCATGCAAAGAGCACAGTGCAGCTCCTTCCCAAATACTCTTCAACAGAGCTGTTAAAACTCAGACAACTAATCATTCCTTGCACACCTTCCCGCCTTACCTCTCCGTGAGGCTCCTGGATGCTCCGTCTTCCCCTTGTCCTGGACAGCAGTGGTGCTGGGGGCAGTGCTGCTCACCTCCCTCTCTCGGGGCTCCTGGCTCAAGGCCCCCTGAGCGAGGTGGGAGCTGCGACCTTCACTGCCAGTGGTGGTGTTCCCCACACCAGCCTTGGTGCCCAACGGGGGAACAAGGGCACGTGGGGACTGACGTTTCCAATGTCTTGCCAATGACCAAAAACCCCTTCCTTTCTTCCTCCGGATATGTAACATGGACTGAGAAGACGCTGTACATCAGGGAAAAAGAGGGAAGGGAGTTAGCTGACTTCACACCTTCACAATCAACCCACCCAATGGGTAAGGCATGTAAGGGGTTTTTTTAATCAGTCATTTCAGAACACCAGTGTTTATGGTTCATGTAACTAGCATCAGTTTCATTCCCCTTAACAGTACTGAACCAGCAAGCCAGGAGAGACATTCTACTCATTAGTTTATGTGTTGCCATTTGCCCATCCACCATTACAGGATCTCTTTCCTTCCAAAAAGTAGGCAAGTTGCTTGGCGAGTATCTTTAGATTGCACTTAAAAAGCCATATGGAAGCTTTGACATTGGACTGCTATTTCTGTGACTCCTTATTTGTTCTTCTAACTAGCATAAGGTTGACAGCTACATTTCCTCAGGCAGATCCCAACAAATATCTTTCCATCACTTACGCTCCTAGAACTCTTCTCTAACACCTTGCCCTCTTTGATCTTAAAACCTTATGCAAGTATTAAACATCTAGAGCATTAGACATCCATGAACCAAAAATTTATCTGGCCTCTCATTTCACAGCGGAGGCCCAGACACAGAGAAGGTACAACTGACATTTCCAGAAGCAGCATCTCAATTTGTAGGCAGCTCTACAATAGCCAGGATTTGCCCTAAAATATTCTCACAGAAACGCACACTCAAAAGATAACACACAAAACCAGGGGCTGCATTTACATCCATGCAATACACTTCCCAAACGACCCCACAAAGATTACAGAGGGAATCAAGAGCTGAGTCTAACAGAGGACCCGTTTTCAGGTCCTCTTAAGTCCTACCTCTTCTTCCCCACCATCCCCTCTGCTCTTCAGAGTGTGTACTCTTGGTTTTGACATTGTGCTGCATCGTCATAAACAGACAAAAGGGTCAAGACACAGAGGTTTGCACAAACACATTGGAGAGCTGACTGGGGAAAAGAACCTCACGAGATGAAAAGGGCAAGGTGAACAACCCATTGCAGCAGCAGACACCTTGGCTTACCTCATCTCCTGGGCCTCTTGGAATTCAGGTGCTCAGACTCAGGCACTGCAGCACCGCCCAACAGGTGGACTTAGTGACTTCGGTAGAGGGGAGATCAAAGGCCCAAGGACCTTTTCTTCCTTTCCACAGAACTGCAATGCAGCAGGGAAGCCTGGAAACAGTAGAACACAGTGCTCAGCTCAAGCACCCAGCCCTTCCCCTTCGATGCCACAAGAAGTTTAGCCGTGCTCTTAGCTAGGACTTGGCAGGATAAGGAAGTCAAAGCGATGGAGGAGCTTGGTCCCAGATGGGCAATGGAAAGGGACGAGGGAGAGACCAGGTCTCAAATTTGCCAGCTCTCTTCCCTCCCTCACTTCTCTGGCAGTGTGGCTGCTTTCCCACCCGGCATCCACATGCTTGGCATCAAGATGTTCTGAGATGCCACTGCCTCCCTTGGCATTTTGGATGGTATGGCAATGGATTTAGATCACTATCCTCTCGCTGTCCCTAAAGCTCCTACCAGCTCTTGCTGATCTCCTGCGAAGTCCCCAGAAAACCATTCTGCACAGTGCCAACAACCGCTTTTCTCAAGCCTCAAATGTTTTCTGCTTCTGCCCTTCCCTTACAGCCCCCCACCAACCTTTCATCCCAGATGCCATCCTGCTCTCTACTTGCTCAGTGCTCTCCTCATCCCACACAAGTCGTCTTCTCAGCCTCGCTGCCATTTCTTGCTGGGCTCCAAGGAAGGAGGTCCCTACTGGATGGGAGCCAAGGGTTTGGAGAGGAAGAGCATCTGAGAAGTTGACAGGCAAACCACTGACTCCTTGGGATCACTGCAGTCAGTCAGGCCTGCAAAGTGGAGACACAAAGCATAACAGAAGGCCGCTCTGCAAACTGAAAGCATCTGAAGCTACAGATTTCACTGGAAAGATTTCTTGGAGACTTCTAAATAACTGCACAGGGAAACATGCTGATATTGGCAGCCACCGGAAGCAGGCCAGGGAACAACTCTGACCGACTTCCACAGAGCTGCCAGAGGAAGAATCTGGCAGGACAGGTTATTGCAGGGGGGCACATGCAGGGGAGAACTCTTCACCGGGAATGTGCACAGGCTCTCGAGCATAGGAAAAGACCCTTCCTCCCAGCAGAGAGTGGGACAGTTCTTGCCTTACCTCTCTGTGAGCCTCCCAGATGCTCCGTCTTCCCCTTGTCCTGCACAGCAGTGGTGCTGGGGGCAGTGCTGCTCACCTCCCTCTCTCGGGGCTCCTGGCTCAAGGCACCCTGAGCGAGGTGGGAGCCGTGACCTTCACTGCCAGTGGTGGTGTTCCCCACACCAGCCTCGCTGCCCAACAGGGGAGCAAGGGCACGTGGGTACAGAGGTTTCCCAGTTTTTGCCACACACCGAAAACCCCTTCTTTTCTTCCTCCGGGAATTTAACACGGACCGAGAAGAAGCTGTAGATCAGGGAAAGGGGAGGAAGGGAGTTAGTTGACCTCGCACCTTTACAATCAACCCACCCAATGGGTGAGACACTCAAGGGTTTTTTTAATCACTCAGGAGATCAGCTTTGTTCTAGTTTTTCATGCAACTAGCATCAGTTTCATTCCTCTCAACAGGACTGAGCCAGCAAGCCAGGAGAGATGGAAGGCTCCACTGCTAAGAGGGGAAAAAAGATTCCCATTTGAGACTTGACTTTTCTGAAGGCTACCAGTAAAGACCTACATGGTGCTCCTGCTATTTCTGAAAACCACAAAGACTCTCAGCAAGTGGGCAGACATTGTTGGTGTTTTTACAACATCATACCATCTTCAGGGTCTGATATGATTATCAAGCAGAAGAAGAACGGCAAATATACCTGTAGTGAGACCAGAGAATGATAGCAAAGATAGAAATAGACCTTACATATCCAAATGTTCTCCTTGATTGTGACACAGATTTATTCCCTGTTTTCTTTACTGCAGAGACACCCAAACACAACATAAACATGATCTGTGTCCAAAAATTTCTGATCTTGTCTGTTCCTGAAAATTCAAAATTATATGCAGTGCATTTCCCTGTCCCTTGTCCTGGCCAATCTCTTCCCTATTCCCCAGCCTACAAGACTGGGCTCTCACTTGCACTGCACCAAGATTAGCTGCTGCTGCACTTGCCAGCATCTCCCGGGTCTCGTGATCAGCACTTTGAATGCAGCTTTTGTCCATGCTCTGCCTCCCAGAGCCAAGCAGCATTCCTGGGCATTGGCACCATCGCTGCAGGCAAACATCCTCCGGCCAAAGGCTGCAGGAACGAGACTGCAAGAGGTCCCGGCTGAAGAAGTCTCCATTCTGCTGCAGCCCTTTACCTGCAGCGAAATCCCCTTGCGCTGCCGTGGTGGGGGTAGAGGGGGTGACGGGCTCTTTGCAGATGAGAGTCTACTCGAGGTGCTGCTTGGTCGCTGGGCCTGACACAGCTGCTGCTGCGTTTCCCTGCAGCATCAGGAGCCTACATGGAAAAATAACACTGCCAGTGCAAGAGACAGCCAGCAATGCCTGCCATGGCCCTGCCTACACGGGGTCCTGCACACCAAACTGCTCAAGTCAGGTGGGGTTAGAGCAACATAAAGACACGTTCAAGCTACGCCTTTTCCACATTCTGTCACAATTTTGGCCATAAAGTCCAACTGCCAGAGGAAGACTGCTGTCAGCAGCATGGGGGAAGCATATCTCTACCCCAGCAGCTGCTTCCCCCACGGCTGTTTGGGCACGGCAGCAGAGGCAAGTCTCTCACTGTGCTGTTGGACCCGGGACAACCTCGGAGCTGTTCCCACTGAACTCAGGGCTGCCACTGCAGCAGGAGCACCACTCCACACATTTGATAACAATGAGCTGTAATGTCACACAGGCCTAGTCACCAAAAGCTACCAAAAAAAAAAAAGAGGGGGTTAGAATAGTTTGCTCCTTTTTAATGCACACATACCTGGATTTAAGCAGGAGCACTGGGCTAATGATACTGGTGTGGAACCCCTATCTCTAGCACTTCCACTAGTTTGCAAGATTTTTGACTGTACAAAGCGGTAGATAAGACTTTACAACACATCTACAAGTAATTCTGAGCCACAACTCCAACCACAAGACAAATACCTCCAAATCTGCCACCCACTGGGAAAGGAAGGAGAAAAGCAGCTAAAACAAGTGCTGTTGTAGATAAATTGCTTGCATTTATCATCTTGCTGGGGCACCTCTAGCACTTGCAGCACCTCAGAAAGCCTGAGACTACAGCACAAGCCATACTTAGGGATGCCAGCATCCAGAAACTTCCTGCCATGCTCACATCAGCAAGCTCACATCCCAAAGGACTTCTGGAGTTGTAGACAGAGCTATAGCATGCAGGGTGTACGAGGGTAAGGAGAGTTTGTGCTTAGCCCTTCAGGTTAGTGCTACAGCAAAATGTGACCATGTTCAGCTTCGGGTCGTGTCGTCCATCTCTTCACTGCTTTGGTTGCCTTCACTTCAAAACTCCTTTGGACAGAGATTTCAGTTGCCATACTGGGCTTCCTGAAACATATTAGCTCATTTCTTATGGCCTAAGTAAGAGATAAGAGGGGATTTTGCAGAGCATATCTTAGCAGAAGAGGTCAGGATGGCAAGGCAGCAGTAAAACTCCTGGAGATGTGAAGGATGCCAATTGGAACTGCTGTTGAAAATCCACTCCTAGGTGCCTCTAAGCTCTGCAAACAGAATGACAACCCCATGGCAGCTGAGTGCAGCCAGAAGAATCAATCCCAGACAGAGTTCAGTTAAATTATTACAACAGGAAAAACACCTCTGCACTCAATGGAAAAAGGGAAGGCAGATCTCTATTTCATGTATTCTCTAAGCTTAAAACAAAGAACAAAGAATGCCTGTACAAGGCCTTAGGTCCCCTACTAACAATCCTGACAATCAAACTCACAATCAGATAAAATGGTATCCTTAAACAAATTTCAATGGAAATTGTTCATATTACAGCAGGGCCTTGTAATGTTCTACCCCCCACCCAAGGGATTCAATTCAGTTCAAAAGCTGTCCAAGTGTTCATCTGGAGTAAGGGTAGTGTTTGCAGAAAGGCTGAAGTCAGCTGAGACAGTTAACCCGCTTCTGGCTTTCATCTCTTTTCTTATCTTAGATAAATCCTAGAATACCAAATTGGAATAGGACCTCAAGGATCCTCTGGTCCAAACTTTCTTGTCAACAAGCGTAGGTCTATTTGGGACTGCATACTTGAAAACAAGGACTCTTCCTACCCTCCACTACCCTCTCGCTCAACTCGGTGTCATCTGCAATCTGACTGAGGATGCCTTGATCCCCTCCTCCAGACCACTGATAAAGATATTAAACATGACTGGCCCCAGCTGGCCCTGGGGAACACCACTTGTGAGCAGCTGCCAAATGGATTTAACTCCATTCATCTCCACCACTCTCTGGGCCTGTCTACCCACACAGTATTTTACCCAGGGGAGAGTGTGCACATCCAAGCCATGAGCAGTCAGCTTCTCTGGGAGAGTGCTGTGGCAAATGGGGTCAAAGGCTTTAGTAAAGTTTAGGTAGACAACATCCTCAGCCTTTCTCTCATCCACTAAGAGGGTCACCTTTTGACAGACAAAAGCCTAGTTCCAGTGCTTCCTCAGTATAGAAGTGGACCAGAAATTGCTGTATGCCTGGGAAATCATAGAGAATCATAGAGAATATTTTAACTCCTCTAAGGATTGGAAAAAACTCACTATACAATGGGATGTAGGCAAATATGCTCTGAGCTGTAAGTGTGCCCTAGAGGAGAAGGATGAGATCTGCCAGATAAAAGCACCTCACAGCACCAGTCCCTACTGAGGACCCACAAATTGGAACAGAGACCTCCATGAGGCAGCAGCAGATCAGCCCAGTTTAGGATTGTCCAGAGCCCCCTAACACCCTCTGGTGATCCAAGGCACTGGACCACCACAAACACTCTGCTTTGCCTCCTAATTCATTGAGGATCATGTGGTTCTAAACTAAGGCACCTTTGGTTCCCCACATTGCTAATCTAGTTAAGTGCATATTGGCCAGTTGCAGGTTTTAGCTCACTGTCAAGCACATCATCTCACCGTCTTTTTGCTCTGGCTACCTGGAGAGTCAGCAGCCACATGAAGCCACACGTCATCTGGAGATGCAGAGAAACCAGCTGACACCTCCTGCTGTCCGCTACAAGTCTGCTTTCATTTGCTTTACAAAAAATAGAATGTTAGTCTATAACAGGGAGAAGGAGGTGAAGAACAGAACCAAAAACAAAATAAAACAAAAAAAACTTGTCATCTCAGGACACTCTTCACAAAGTCCCAGAGCAAGTGGACACAGGGCAAATAAGAAAAACCAAACCAAGCCAAACCAAACCAACACCTAAAAAACTTTGTTTCTTACAGAGACATGTCAAAAACAGGCCCACTGAGGTAATTTACTAACCGAGTGTGTGCAAATACACCTCCAGTTCCTGAGGGTTAGATAGGAACAAAAAGGCCAAAGCCTTCTCCACAAATTTACCACGATTTAGCACACATAATTTTGAAAACTGAGCCCAGCTGCTGTTTTTACTGAATGCCCTGTCTCACGACTGTCAGCCAGTTCCTGTTCAGCTGGAGGCAGACCTGGGCCGCTGCAGCTCTAAGTGGGCAGGCAAAGCCCATGAGCTCCACCAGCGCTGCACCAAGGACCGCTATCACAGGGCAACACCCAGCTCCAACCGCAGCCCTGCCATGCCCACTCTGCTGCCTCAAAGTGCAGGTTCAGTGAAAGGCTACAGGCCCGATGGTTTGCTTTGAAGTGCTTCAGCGAGCTACTGGACAGAGTGAGGCAGCTGCACAACATCAAAGCTGCACAGCAAATAAAACGCTTTCCCACGACACCACCTTAAAGCCAAGGCAGGAACCTAGAACTGAGTCCCAGTGATGCAGAGGTCATTCCTCAGACTTTGAAATCACTCTGCTCTTACAGAAAGATTAGTTGCATTTTTCCCAAGAGCCCCTTTTTTCTTCTCAGTACCTTTCATCTGCCCAGCAGCAAATCTGTCAGAACAGTTTGGGGCAGAGTGCTGAGGCTTCAGGACTTCAATTCTGATTTGAAGGACTCCAAGACTACAAGCAGAGAGAACACACAACCTCAAAACCTGTAAAAGAACAGGTACCTTCGTGGTAACGGAGATCACCACGGAGATGAAAGATGAAGGTGCAAGGTAGGCATGTTTAGAAGCTCATGTTTTCCCACGTTTTACCAGGTGCAAGTCACCAAACCGTGTTTGGAATGCTGGGCCTGCTAAGCCCCCTCAGTACCCCCTTAGCACAGCACAGGTCAGACGGCGGCTGGCCCTGAACGCACTGGGGTTCAAGTGACACAGAGAAGCAGAGCTCTTTCTTTAAGTCTCATGAACAGCTTGAAAAGTTTTCCTTCAACTCATTTCCCAAAGAGAAAAAGGTGTGATCGTTTGGATGGAAAATAAAAATGCTGGCAAATGAGAAGATTTGTTCAGGCTACTGAACATCCATTTAATGAAAGCGATGGAGACTTGAACTGGTGATAGAGGCAAGAGAAATTAGGCCTGCAGCTTGTTTTACCTGCCATCAACTTTGAAGAGGTCCTGAAAAACACCTTCAGCTCCCATCAATCCCCGATAAGGGCTTGGCAAAGCGCATACTGCAAGATGGAGGATATGCAGACCCATATGCAGGTAACAGCCTGTCTGACACAGGGTGATGGAACAGCTTCTTCCTCAGTCTCCTGTACTGGAGAATGTCATGACAAAATAAACACTGAGACAAGACTCAATGTGGAAGGGTCCCAGTTCCTTGTTAATGACTTTCTATTTAAATCCTCTACAACTGCGGAAATTAGCTGCCTGAGCACCATGGAAAGGAAAAATAGGCACAGGTTGGTGGATTTTTCTTTAAAAGAGCCCCCAAAAATCCTAGTATTTACAGACCCCAATAAATTTATGGAGATAACTGTAGTGGTATACAGATAAATTTCCCTTTCACCTTCACCATTTTAAACAAAACTCTGTGCCTATGGTGGAGAAAAAGTTTGGCTACCTGAATTTAAGGTGTAGTAAAGGGGTGGTAGGTTTGCTATTGTGGGAGTTTTCTTATTTGTTTGTATCATTTATATTGAAGCTCTTGAAATAAAATTTTATAGGATGTAATTCTGCCTTCTTTGCCCTTCACTAAACCTGCTGAGGATAGCAGGGGGAAATATTAGGAATTAGAGGACCAAATCTGACCCCACTGAAATCAAACAGGCAGCGTGCCCAGCCTTGTGGACATTTTGAGAAACGGCTCCTCTTCTGCATCACGTTATCCCCATCAGTCTTGGGTAAAAAATGGTTTCCAGTCACTAGTCCACAGCAGACGATAATAACAAATGAAAAATAGCCAAGCTATGATTTACACTAGATGCCAGAAATGAAGTATGGTGGAATTCTGTGGGCACAGTGGGGGAACTGAGGAGGAACAACTTCACACCTGCCTGCTCCGCAGCGGTGGCAGCACCGTGGGTACAGCTCTTTAGCTGTAGTTCACCAGCTGTAGTTCACCAAGCTGGTAGTTGTGTGTGGAACCTTTTGTACAATGAGTTTGCTCACAAAAAGAGGCAAACAACTAGTGCACTGAAATGCCATAAATCCTGTGTTAGCAGAGCATGAAGCAATTAAAGCCTCCACGCAGAATTAGGCCTCCTGACTGCACCTAGAGGCAGGCAGGTAATGGAAACATCAGTACTTTTAGAAGAGACCATGTCAGGGCCAAAATAAGGAGAATTTGCAGGCAGGAACTAAAACATCATGTGGAAATATGGGTGACTGTCAACCAGTTTGTGGAACCCACGCCACCCAAGCTCCTCAGGGTCTACAAAGTAGATCCCACATGGCCTCACCAAGAACAGGCCTGAGAGGCTCCATAGGGTGCTGTATCTTGCAGTTTGTACCCTCTCATATCCTCTCTGCACTCCATCTGCAACAGTACATTCTTCCCCACATCTTGCTGACTGTCTTGTCCAGCTACAGTGCAGGCTTGCTCAGGCTGGAGATCCTTTCTGCAGTGTTTTCCTCACAAACAAGGGAAGTTCAGCAGCACACACTGCCTCCACCACACATTTTTCTGCAAGAAACTCTCAGTATTCAGCCACAGATAAGAAAACATTTCAGTAAAATAGCCAAGTAGGGTCATCCCTTCTTTGCACAGGGGGAAACTGAGGCACAGAACTTAGAAACACAAGTTTTTCAGCCTTGACATTCACTGGTTTCCCATCACTCAGTCTTTAGGTACTTTGGATACCACTGTGATAGCTTCAGCTGCTAAGGAAACAAATCTATTTTCAGACACCTTACTCATGCTGTGCCATTCAGTTCTTCATCTGAGTGAAGGCAATTATGTTGGTGGTTTAATCATTATCTTAAAGCAAAGCCAGAACTTCACCATCTTTCCTGATCATAAAATTCCATCATCTTGATCACAACATTTACTGAGACTTTAGAGAGGCATTTTACAAAACATGTTGCCTTTCAAGAAATGAGAAGACTAAGAGATGAGTTTCCCACAGAGAATAGCTTTGTGCTGTGGTGTGAGGCATCAAGAGCTGCTACATATAAATGTGGGAATTTCTTCATGCTGAATTTGATGATTTTTGAGTAGTTAGTGAAAGACAGTGGAGGATTGCATTGCTTGTATATAGCAGTAGTAATATCAGCATCTAAACAAAGAGGTGTCCTTGAAATTTGGGTCTAATGGCAAGCTTAATACTGTGACAGGCTCCACTGGAATCTCAGGCAGGTTAATTTTTCCTCTCTACAGCTGCCAAAGATCTCTGGGTCTGTGGCGCAAACACTGACCATGAAATTACAATAAACCCTAGGAGTGAGTGATTCTGGATGCTCAAGTCTTTTGGGTTTGTTTTGTTGTTGTTGTTGTTTGGGGTTTATTTTTAACCCTAGGAAACCATGAGAAAGAGCTGGCAGTTTAGGTCTTAACTCATTCCTATCAGTGCTAACAGCAAACCTGTAATTAATTTTAAATGTCAAGGAAAAAAATTTCAGCACACAAACTAAAAGGTGGAATAAAGCTTGTTTATGTAGGCTGTTGTTTATGCATTTTTTAAAAGATGCAATAAAAACCTTCACTTGAAATATATTCTTCAATAAAAATACAATTTTTCTGAAAACACATAGATTGGTTGCGATCCTTTATTTTCCACAGAACAGGGAAAAAAGATCAGAACAATTTTCATCTAAACAGTAGTTGAGATGTTTGGAAATATTTGACAAAGCCATGCAGACACCTGAAACAGAAAATTCACAACCCACCATTTTTACTTGCCTGCCTTGTTAAGTTTCCACTAAAATATACATATTTTTGGGGTAGTGCGTTTGTTGTAAACCTTAAGTTTTAGAAGTTCCCTAGAAAAGCTACAGCTTCTAGGAGGAAGTTGCCAGCCACTTTTTTTTTCTTGAAGCAAAGGAATGAATCACTGTGATCTCAACTGAGTCCCAAGATGCTCTGAGAGGGACATGATGCACACAAGACTTGCACACGCTCCTGCAATCCAGATTGACACAGCATTCAGAGCCTTGCCTGGGGCAGACCAAAATGTGGTACCCTCCTCATGCTGGCCAAAAACCCAGCTGCTGTCATTTCAGCATCTGAGTGGCCTTCATGGTGTGAAGAGACGTGTAGCAGACTGTTTCTCTGAGGATCAGTGCCACTGGCTACAGGCTGCTTTTTCAGAAGTGTCAGAATTTTGTGTACCAGCCCTTAGACATAAAACATATCTGCTACAGAGCCATCAGTGCATCACCACAGGACACAGGGAAGGAGCTGGCATACACTGAATCTGTTTTTCATCTGCATTTTGCTAGGAATAATAAGGGCTATCATAATCCTGCATTTACATTTTTAATTTTTTTTTTAAACTATGACTGAAATGCTAATAGGTAAAATCTGCTCCCATGCATCTAGCCAAGGATCCAAGTTTGTTTTGGTGAAGTGCATTAACCACAAAGCAAATAACACATTTGGTGCATGAATTACAAGAGGGAGACCTACCTTCATGATTGGTTTTTATTTCTATGCCTCCATTAGTATCCAGGGAAGTTTAACCTGGGCTGGGGTACATGGCATGGTAAAGTCCTCAGGTTTCAGCACTTCTCTGGCCATCCGTCAGCCTGCAACTTCTTAGCAATTCAGTCCCAAGACATTAAGCTGTCACAGCTCACTATGAAATTAGACTTGATGACACCTAAGTAGATTCATTAATGCATTAGGCAAATGCTATCTGACTGGTTACTTTTTTCAGGGGTTTGGTGAGCAGTGTGCAAACAAACCTAGAGAATGATGCTCCCAGGGGAGGGCAGGCAGCTTGCCAATTTTCTTGCTTAAACAAAGGTAGGAAAGCATCAGCTCCACGAAGCTGCATTAGAAGAATTTACAACGTACTGCTTGCCTCAAGACAGCAAAACACAGAAGGTGGCATCAGTTGTTTCTGTCTTCTGGAGGGGCGATGCAGTTTCCATACACGTCATAGCATGCAGAGCATTTCAAAGGCAACGTGGCACTAATCATGACCAAAACAAGTCCCTGGCATGGGGACTGAAAGACAAACCACCTCTAGGTTAATCTTTGGGACCATCCAGGGCATATTCTCACCATCCATAACCACATGGCTGCTGGCTATGCAGCTGCACTGACTTACCCTGTTCACTGCTTCTCCAGTCCAATAACACAGCCCCCCAAAAAAGCCACCAAATCAACCACTGCAAATGGAGGCAGATGCTGATGTCAGGTACACACCTGCACTGTTAATTCTGTCACGTATCAGCTACCACAGGTGGTGAGACTCAAAGTTTATCTGTCCTTCCCAGAGACTCTCCTTTTAATTTCTGATAAATACAGCTATTGGCCCTGTAATTTTGTACAGTTACAGTTTTGCAGGACACTTGGATACATTTTGATTGGGACATACGTAACTTGTGCAGGCAGCTTGCCTATAGTACTTTCACCTCAGATCACGATCTCATTAGACTTCACAAATTAAGTAGAACCGGGCCAGAAAGATACTCAGAGGAAAATCCTGAAGTGCAATGGGACCCAGGACATGCAATTCCAAAAAAATCTATAGTTCTAGGAGAGACATGAAAGCTTGGTAAGACATCTTGTGTATGGCTGCAAACTGTGCCTTCTTTGGTCAGGGATAAACCAGTAAAATCCACACAAGTATGGTCTGTGCATTAAGTACACTAATAGTTAAGTTTAGGAATATTATCCATGCAGCTGTTTGTGTTCATTTTGTTTAAAAAAATCTTTTGCTTCTCTGCACACCTATTTAATTTTACTACTGAATATTTAAAGAGATAAGATACTTTCCAAAAATCCTAACTTAGCTTGTGGTTCAGGTAATAGCTGATACAGCTCTGGAGTTTTAAAGCAAAACAGTATCTATTGACATGATTTCCTTTGTTTAGAAAAACAAGTTTTGGTTGAAATGTTTGTGAATAAATTAGCTGACAAATATAGCTCATTTGTCTATCTACAAACCAATACTGACTTTTCTGTAGAAACTGATTGTTCACAGAAGCAACATTCAGCTGAGTAATTACTCTTGGAAAAATTTGCCACACTGCTGCCTCTGTGCTCGTGGTATGTAAGCAAGTGCGTGCTCAGGCCGTATGGCATTGTTTCTGCTTCCTAAGTAACTGAAGGCAGTAAAAAAAGCAGAAACAAAATGAACCCTAAATTACAGCTGGTTTTCAGTTTGAATTTTGAGCTAGCAATTAGACGTACCGAAATTCTTGAACTTTTGCAATTTCTGAACATTTCACTGAGCAAACGAGTAGCTAGGAAAATAACCTCATGCAATGGCAACCACAACACAGCTTTTCCCAGAAGATACCACATGATCCTGCATTTTATTCACAAAATACAGCTTTTCTTACATCCATTCAGTCTGCTCTATTAGTTTCTTATCATAGGACTCTTAGCAAGCCTACAGGTCTGGACAAAGCAGCCATTTACTGCAAAAAGGAAGTATACCTGCATCAAAATAAAGTTTTTCTGGGTGTGTCCTGCTACAGATGTTCAGAGGCTCTGCAGCGGCTTGGGTAACCCTGGAGAAGGCTTTTCTGTTTCCTTTGCTCCCAGTGTCTGGAAGGACACAAGACCACACAGCTGCACAGCTGCCAGTCTGCAAGTTTCCCCTGGTAGCCAGCCCATCTCCTGCTACCTCCACAGGGAAACCCTTCCACACACAAACCCTAAGTGCCTGCATACCTCAGCAGCACAGCTGAAGGATACATTGATGCCTGCCCGTTCATTAGCAGCCAAGTCCTTGTTGCACTCAGTTGAAGCATCGCACTTGCCTCTGCTGAAAAACAAATGAGGAAGAAGAGGAACCAGACTGCAGGGGTTTGCCTGCTTATCATCAAACCTTTCCAGCATATCTAACATGCCAGCAGTGTCTTGACCAACGTCTGCAAAACCTCCAGAACCTTGCACTTAAACAGTTAAATATATTTCAGTGCAAAACCCTCTGTTCCTCTTTCCAAGCACGAGTTGATGTCTTACCCTGTTTCAAATCTGGCCATCATTTTTTTCTTCAAGCTGTGTAATTAAGAGCTTATATAAAGTTGATTTAAAGAGAGTCTGCACTCGGGATGACTCCACTTGAGAGTGAGGTAACAGCAACTTGACAGGTCAGGGCTGGGTTCATTTGCTTTTCCTCTGGAATCAGACCCCTTGGGGATCTTCAGTGCTTGTCTAAGTCATCAATTTCCCAACAGCTCACATCAAGCACTCTGAAGCAGAGATCAGGGCTGGGTCTATGTGCTCCATAATGATCAAATACCATTATCTGCCCCAGCAAGGCTCTCATGCTTGGGCCCAGAACTGCCCAAGGACTGACGACAGGAGAGGTGGCCTGAGCCCCATCCCACCTGTCAGTTCCCACATTCCTGATTCAGCACATCTGAGCTCTCACATCTGTGACATGAGCCAGTGAAATTATCTGCAGCTTCATCCCTCTTGCAGACTCGTGCCTACCTTTCAGCTGAGTGCACAGCCCCCTGCAGGCACAATTATAGCCAATTATAAATACCTGCTCAGGCTCCATGCACAGTGCTGGCAGCACAGTTCCACAACCAGGTCCACGCTCCACGGGCAGAGCTGGGTGGCACAGGGTGCTCTGCGAGGAGAGGCTGGGGCTTCCTGTGACACTCAGGGCAGGTCAGGGCCAGTCCACAGCTTCCATGGTAACTGAGATGTGATCTCTCTGTCCTTATCTCAGCCCATGAGCTTTTTTCCATCTTACTCTCTCACCTGCTGTACCATTGAGGAGGAGGTGCAAGAGATCAGCTGGGTGGACAGCCTGTAAATGGCCAAGGTCAACCCACCATAGGCCACATTGCTCCACTGGCACTGCAGTGACAAGAGCAGATGAAAACCTCAGCATCTCCATGTAAGCTTTCCAGAAGAAACGTGGGGGGACCAGACTCCACACAGCCCACTCTGATTGCTGCAAAATAGCTCAAAGGCAAGAAAGAGATACCAGCATAAAATACTACGGTAACTCCTAGAGGCCCCCTGTGGCAAAGTCTGGAAACAAGGAAAGATAGCTGCAGCTGTTCTAAGACTTCTCATTGCTTGCAGCTGTATTCATATTTCTAAAGGGAAAATACAGGGCTGCACTTGAGTTCCTCCCTTGAGGCACACATCAGAGTTGAAACTTGCATGGTAGCTCATTTTTGTTTCCCCACTACCTCTCGTGAACAAGGATTTCTTACGCATACACACACCTTCCTTCTGCTCTGTCAGCCTCTCCACTCTTCACATACTGACCTGGAATTGTTCCCTATGAAAGCATACTTTAAAACCTTTTAGAGTATAGAAATGTAGAATGCCACAGTTCAGACAGCTGGAGCAGATGAGACCCTCCAAAATGTCCCCTCTCATCAAGATAATAGAGCACCAGCATACAAAACAGCATTAAAGGCTGGGTTTTTTTCAAATGGTGCTGTTTTTATTTGGCCCTGGCAAGTGAGGGGTGATAACCAAAGGAAGGTCTGACAAATAGAGGGATGCTGAGAGGAATAAGAGCTTAGCTCTCCTGGGAAGTGATTTTGAAGCCAAGGAAACTAAAAGTACACATTGAAACCCCCCATTTCTACAGGTATCTTCTCACAAGGACTTGATGGCCACCTTTATTGTCCCTGAGTGCACTTAAATTCTGTGTGTTTCCAGAAGTGCTGCCTCTGCCTTACGGAAAAAGTTATCATGAAGGCCTGTCATTTTTTTTCTACCACTCCAACATTTTAAGAAGGTTGCAACAGCCTTTCCCAGAGAGAAGACAGACTGATGCAGTGCGAGACAAAGGGCCAAAGGTCACGTTCAAAGGAGCACACTCTGAGGCTTGTCTGCCTGATGGACCACAAAGGCCTGGGGATGTCCAGGCAGCACTGACAGGGCAGGAGTACTACAATGGGTTTGTGTTCACTGCATTTCCTCCATCATTTTCCAAAGCAATCAACAGCTTGGAGCTGCGACCAGAAAGACAAGAAGAAAAACCTGCCTTGATGGTCATTTTGTTTATTCCAATCCCAAAAAACATATTCCCCCTTTGAAAGGGTATTTTTAGGTGTTTTATTGCCTGGCCAAACAACAGAAGCAATCCAACATTTGGTCACCTTTTCAAAATAGTTTGGGGATTACAGGACTGTTATCAATATATCCATTTTTAAATGCTGAACTATGACTAGTCCCAGGCACATCACTGCTTCCCAGAGCAGTTACGAACAACATGAAGAACTGAGAGCAACTCACATCTGATGAATGGCTCTGGAGCAGGATTTCACTTGCACTGCTGCCCACTGTACTGTCTCTCAGCAGCTCCCACTGCCAGGACCGGAGAGGGAAACAAAATTTTCAGGTTGAAGTTTGAATTGAAGATGGATGAATTAAATGGACTTGAATTTTAAAAAGAAAAAAACAGCAACAAAACCACCAAAAAAACCCCAAAAATTACATAATTAGCTCGTTGTTTTGTGAGCACCTAAAGGAGATAAAATGAAAATATTAAAGGCAGTGTAAAACCATACAATTCTAAAGAAAACGTCAGCAATTCTGGTAGAATACTAAAACAAAAGGCTTCAACCTCTTCCCAATAAAAACAGCCAAAAACATCAACATTTCTTCAGTTTTTCTGTCCCTTATCACTCACTTCACCCTCTCCCTTTTCTGTGCTTCGAATTATTAGTCTGCTCAAAATGCTGAGCAGATGGTTGCAGTTTCTAGCAGTGGTCATCACAGCACTAATACATGTTAAAAGAACATCTAGAATGAGCAAAGAGTATCAAACCAAGTTAGAATTCATGAAACTGGGAAAGGGGATGCACCAGCCCTTGGAAGCACCAAAATTGTTATCAGACCCCTTTATGAAGCAGCAGCAAGCACAGGTTTCAGTGCCTTGCAAAGGGAATCTTCTGTGGAATTACCTTAGAGAATAATTTATTTACAGATAGTAGAAAAACCTTTCCTATAAGCATATTTCACTGGAATCACGGGATTGTAGAAAATGAACTGTCACTTTGAAACTCCCTTTATTTAAAGGTAAAGTCATTTAGCTTGAAGCATTCACCAGAGTTCATGTTTTCCAGAACAGCCTTCCCTTCATCCTATTAGTTTCCTTCACTAAATGTACCCCTTTCCCAAATCTTTAATTGTATCTGTAATCTCTCTATATATGTCTATGTATACACACCATGCTTTGAGGAGCCTGAGCACACAATAAGCTTCAGGGAACCACAGGTTTGGAGAGGATCCAAGCTCCTTCCAACCTGCAAGTGCTGGAAGCCAGTGGGACGAAACAGCCACTACCAACTACCCATGTTCCTGCAAGCCCCATGTTCACACCCTGAGATTTTTTGCATTACAGAAGTCACAGCACAACTCCAGCAAAAGCAGATTTTACCAACCTTCATTGTCAGCCCCCATTCCCAGAAAGCCTGATTTGCTGAGGGCAGAAAATGTTTCTTTGATCTGATTACAGGAACTTCCAACCTGAGGCAGCTGAAAAGGTCACAGGTTCCTGTACCAGACAGTCTGTGTGAGATCATTTCAATCTGATTTATCTCTACACCACCTTTTTGGGAAGGGTCACAAACTGGGTCTCACCCAATTCTGAGCGGAAAGATTTTTAACACTTTCACTGATGTGGACACTGAAAGATTCTTCTTGATGGCAGTTTCCCACAGCAACCGTTGCCGTTGTTATAAATCATTTTTTGCTCCCACCCACCCTGTTGGCCAACAGATGAATATAAAGGATGAGTTTACTCTGTGTGAGAGATCATGACAAACACACAAACCCGCTTGGGTTGAAGTTCACCATCAGGCACCGAAACGCTGTTGGCTGTTTTCATTTCAGGGGCTTTGGGAAGTCTCTAAAATAACCAACAGACAAGTGCTCGCTACTGATGAAAGCAAACAGCCTTGCAACTCACAGATGCAGAGATCCAGGGAGTGCTAAGCTTGTGTGTGCAGTAATCATTACAGGAGGAACCTAGAGACAGTGCCCTCCCCTCCAGGCCCCCATGGAGCTTAAGGGGAACACGTTCTTCTCAAAGACAAAATGCATCAATTCCTTAAGTTATTCCTAAATAACTTAAAAGCACTCATTACTGAGCCAAGGTACTTGAAATAACCTAGTTAACCCCATCTCCATGATTAGAAGAGCTCTGGATAGGCTCCAGATCGGACCATGATTTCACTTCCCCTCCTAGATAATGTGAGATTCACTCACACAATTCTTAATTGTCTCTTGTACCTCCTCGCTGAGCAGGTTTGTATCTTGCAACCAGGACAGAAGCAGAGACAAGGCACCTGGACAAAATTTTCCTCATGCAGAGGCCCAGGCTTACTTCCAAGCAGGAGTTGCTTTATGATCTCCTTGATTTTTCAAGGGCTGGGTAGAAGGTGGATTTGGAGAAAAGCTCCAAAAAAATATACTGTATTTCAGGCAGCACTTGAGTCACATGCAATCATGCTGGCAACAACCACACATGCTTTGGCAAGTTACTTCCTCTGCTTGAGTTGGCTTCCCACACCTTACTTCTGCAATCCCAGCACCAAGTGGATTTCCTTCTCTCCAGCTCAAAACAAGCCCTCATAAATGTTTAAACAAACTGAAAAACACCACAGCTGTCACATCACAGCTGAGGCATCCTGACACCATAACTTAATACTACACACTACCTGCTGTACAAAAATCCCCTCCAAACCACAGCTCCAGCAGCCCCTCCTGGTGACTCCAGGTGCTCTGTACACCCAGTTAGAGAGTTTAGAGATCTATATGCTGGAAGGGAGATAGGAAGTCTGATCTCAAACTCAATCCCTAACTGGAGGGCTATGGACACCATGCAACCAGCTGAAGTGGCACTCACCAACTGGAGATGTAGGAGTAAATTTTCCTTCCATAGTCAATCATACTGCCCTTTAAAGCAAAAGTGAAGTTTTAAGCCACCCACCATAAATTAACTCACAAAATATCTGTCTTTCCTACAAAGCAAAGTGGAGAGTCTCCTGGATGGTCCCACAGCTGTGAGCTTGGACACACTTGCAAGGAAACATATAGAGGCTGTAAGCCTCTCCTGCAGTCCCCTCCTTCCAAGGAGTAGGGAAACAACATCCCAAAGGCCATGGACCAGTTTCTAGGAGACTTAATCTTGGTTTAGGCAGTGGTTAAAGGGGCAAAGGGCAAGACTGCACAGAGTCAGTTTTCCTTATCACCCACAGTTCTGTTCAAGCAAAGAAGGGCCAATACAGTACCAAGCCACTGTTTCATCACAAGACAACCTGAACTAGAACTTGGCTATCAAGCTATGTACCATCTCCATAATTTTTATGTGCATTTCTCAAATGTCTACAAGCTTATGTTGCCAGTAATCAGGAATTCTCTAAGAACCAGTTGTGCGTCCTTTATCTTCCCTTCTTTTCTCCGTTTCCACATTATCCTTCTCCTCTCCAACAGCATGTTTTGCTTTTGTTTGTTTCTACTTAATCAAGGTCATTGAGATATTTATTTTGGGACAGAGAAACCATTAGCAAAAGTAATTTTAAGGATGAACCCAAAAATGTGGTTTTTTTAAAAAAACCAAATTAAATAACTTCCCATAGCATGGTGGGAGGCCAGAAGCAAAACATCCATACTCCTCAAGTCCTTACACAGCACAGCCTTTAACAGACACAGGTGCATGTCCCACTCTTATTCCCCTACGAAACTTCCATGAATCACACGTGGCACTGAAATATTTAGCAAAAGAGGCAACGAACATTTCTTGTCTCAAGTCCTGATGTAGTACTAAGTCCCTTTGGAAGCAGGACCATAACCAGAGGCAAGAATGTGAGCCACATCACCTGACAGATGCCTTCAGTAACAATGCAATTGCGCCATCCTCAAGGGCACCAGTCACGGGTTGCTCTCGCCAGCCGGTAATGTAAGGAATTTTGTGGAGCTGGTCTGGCACCCGCTGGCCATCTGTGGTATTGCTCCTTGTCAGAGACAGTTTATATACTTCCATTATCTGGAAGAAGGCCACCACAGGAAAAACAGCAAACAAAAATCCCACAGGCCCTGCAGTGGTGCCTGGACAGACATTAAATACACATTTGTAAATGGGACTCGATACTGGTTGGGCAAATAAAGCCAAGAGTACACCTTAGAGTTTCTACCCCACTGATGTGTTGGCTGTTTAACTGGGGAGGTCTGCCCTGGGCACACCTTGGACTCTTTCAGGAATTCTCATCCAACCTCCACTGCTCCAAATGAGCAGCTGGTCTGTCTTCCTCACTCTTTTCATTGCTCCAAAACTACCAGGATTAGTGCTGGAAGGGAGAACCTACCCCATTTTCAGCCTTGTTCTCCAGACAATGCTGCATCACAGCTCAAACTGTTTGAGACCTTGGCTTTGCAGTTAAATAAAGATTAGAAAGTGCACAGAATTGTTAATCATCAGCTCCAAGGCAAGGGCAATTTTTGACCAAGAAGCCCAATTGCTCACAGCTGCCAAACCCACACAGTTTCACACACGGCAGCTGCTTGAAGGTGACGCAGGCAGGGGGCTGAGGACAGTGTGACCTGGCTGTCATAACAGCAAGCAGGAGACCAGAATTCGCACCCCTGTCACCAGCTCTGTCTGTAACTGAAACAGATTCGCAGGATCTCCATGTCCACGAGAACAAAGAACGAACAAAAGCTTCTTGAGATGCCCCTGCTCTTCCTGCCGACAGGTTCTCCCACAGCTTTACTGCTGGAACAGGTTTGTTGTGCACAGGAATGATGGACACAGGCAACGCCAACCTTGCAGATACAACGGGGAGTGGTGGCAAGTTTCCAATGCCACCACTCCCCGTATCCAAACAGTGCAAACGAGATACTCTGCCTGCTCTTTCAGCCCCAACCCAGGGCTTCTGCTTCGACTCACGGAAAGGCTGGGATGTAGACACATGTAGGACTTGCATGACCAAAATACAGCTGGCTCCTCGTGTTACTCCACACCTCAAAAGCTCAGCAGACCAGCACTCACCTGAGGCAGAGCACACCTTCATTCACACCACTCTTTTGCCCAATCCAAAACCTGCCCGCACACAGTAACAGCAGGACTAATTAAAAACTGACAAGTTCTGCCTAATCTGGTGGCTTTGAGTATAGACAGGGCTCAAGTGTTGGCACTTATTTTCACAGTATCTCAGAACTGAAAAAAAATAAAGCCCAGATTTATAAAGTATTACAACATTCATTTACTGTTAGTTAAAACCCTCCAAAGACAGAAAGCCTCCACCTGCTGCCCTTCTACCTCCACATCTCCAAAACCAAGAGCACCTCTTCCAGCCTTCTCCATGACATAACTTCATGCACTTCCAGAAAATGCTGCAACCCCAATGCAATCCAAGCAGTGGACAAATCAACAGACAGGATGAAAAGAAGACAAGAAATCAGTAACAACAGATGCTTTGCAGAACATTGTAACCTTCTAGACTTGTTTCCTCCTCCACTAGAAATCTGCTTTCATCTTTAACCACCACCCATAGCTACCTAAGCTCTCTCTCAACAAACACCACAGGACAGGTATTTGGTAAAAGAGATGTATATTTATTCACTTTACAAAGAGGGTGGTATTTAGTTGCAACAGCTCCATTTATAGACAAATATATTATTGTACATTATAGTGGTGAATGGCTCAAACTTTTACCTTGTTTTGCTCTTAAAAATATGTTCGCACCACTTCAGCTTCCATTAGCTGAGCAAATAGCTGTCCTTGTTCTGCCACTGAGATTAAAAATCCATAGTAAAGATATAGCCTTGTGCTATGTATTCACAAGAATTCCCCTTCTCATTTCCCTGTTTCACTCCTCTCCCCACCCACCTCAACACGGTCTGTCCTCTGGGTTAGCACTGAACTTATATACAGCCTCCATTAAAACAAAATTAGGAGCCAGTGATAGTTCTAAGGTCCTTTTAAAGCACAAGAAAAGTCATTGATTTGTACATATAAAAGTCTTGAGTTCAAATTTGTTAAAATAAAAAAAAATCCTTTTTTAAGTCAGGTTGGCATTTAGATATTGCCAAGGCATGGCTAAGCCAATGAAAGAGGGGAGGCAAGGGGGAAAAAAATTTCAGTATAGAATTTAAATATTACAAAAATATCTTTTTTCTTTTTTTTGTTTTGTTTCCTTTTTTAAAAAAAAAAAATCAGCAGGATGCCCACTTGCTATTGCTAACTGAAGCATGGAAGAAAGGTATAGACCAGTTGTCTTTGATCCTTCAATACTTGAAACAAATTCAATGTAAAGCTGAACCAAGTTTACCACACAAACAGTGGTGGCATATTTATTTCATTTGAGATACAAATGCATGTCCACATGACAGGCATAATCTGACCATGAGGTGGAAGAAATGTTTCTATAAGTAAGCGCAGGGAAATAGGGCGAGAGAAGGCTGGCACGGTTAAACATTCTGGATTCAGAAATGCACAGTGCCCCACATGTGCCTTTGCACACAGGCCGTGCATGACTCTGCACTCCTGATATGCAAATACAGCATCTTTCAGCAACATGATCCAGAATTAAAGAGGTTGGTGGCCCACTTGTTCAAACTGCTAAAATCATTCTTTTAGCTGTTATTCTTCTTCGCTTTCATTTTCTGGTTCCAAATCAGAATCACCATTGATTTCCTTTTCAACAGTCATGTCTTGTTCATCAGATTGCTCCTCTTTTTCTTCATCTTCATCCCAGTTTTCCTGGGGAAAAAAATAAAACAAATGTTTGAACCCTTGTCAGTCACACCATTTCTGTTACAAGCAAGTGGGAGAAGATGTGGTCCAGCTCCACTTACATCCGAGTCTTTATCTGCAATCATCTCATCATCTGAGCCTTCCTCCTCCGAGGATTCTGCAAAGAGAAAACAATTTCTCAGTCTGGAGAAAAGGCTTTAAAATTGTGCAAACAAGGCCCAACCCCACATACTGCCAAGGTCTTCAAACTGTTCTATTTCAATTCCAAAACTAATTCTACCTCAAGATGAGGTAATCAACAACAATTAGGAACAAGTCACTTCTGTTATGAGTATACAGTGTGAAGACACAGTAGGAAAAAAGCCAAACTGGAAGTGTACATGCACGCACAGAGACATCCACTACACTGATGTCTTACTGACTCAAATGCAGAAGTGCCTTGATTTGTATCTACCTTAGAAGAAGGGCAGGTAACAGCAGAAATGTGAGGCTGCCAGGTCAGTAAAAGCAGCATACTGAACTTGCAAGTCCCTGATTTGATCATTTGTGAAGCAGGGATGGAAGGGAATTAAAAGAGATAAAAGGAGGGGAAGGAACGAGCAACTAGCTGCAAGATGTCCCCATCATTAGCCAGATTCTACTGCCATGGACATCCCACAAACACTCTCTATTTGCAGCCTGTACTCTGGTAGATAAGCAGAGCAGCATGACTAACAGCCACCAGTGCTGGTGTCATGTGAATTCAGGAGCTGAATTCAGTTAGCATACAACACTTACCATCCTCATAGACCAGCTTTGCAGTCTGATTAACCTCAGGTACATCCTGAACTGCTTCTGATGCTGCAACCTGAATGGAATTTGAAGATTAGCCTTAGATGAAATCATATACTTCAACCTTAAAAGGCAACAAAACTCATAACAATTTAAATGAAGTCTACATCAAGAGTGACACACATTAATTAATTTACAATAGTAGTTTAACAGACAAACAAGTACAAATGACAAAGTAAAATTTGAGAGGCGTCTGCTCTGAAGTTTATACCACTTTATGGGTCAGTAGTCACATTTGGCAGGACAAAACGTGCAACACTTCCAGAGAGCACAGACTGACAAGACAGTCCACTAAGTGCAGTGGCTGAGCATCATCAATCTCGCTGTACAGTTCCCAGTGACAGGTCCCATCAGATGCAATCACAACAGGAGGAAGTCTGCAAACAAAACTGCGTATCTCATGTTATTTAGTTGAAGCTCACCTGGCTGGCAAGAATGAAGAGTCTTCCATGCAGACGGGAAAGCTTTTGCAAAGTCTTTACTCTACTCTCCATTAACTGGTATAACATTCCCAGCTGAGGAATAAGGTCTGGCAACTTGGGAGAAGACAGATGAAAAAAATATGAAGCTGTCAACCAACACATCCCAAACATCCTTTTATTTTAAACTACCTCTGTGTGTTTGGGGCAAGTAACCCTTGCTCACATTATTCTAAACAGAAGGGAGAGTTAGTGTTCACAGAAATCACCTGAAGCCTGATCAGTTAACACTTGGCCACGTTTAGAAACATCATCTACTTTCAGAAAGTGGCAATTCTTACACTACTTTTCCTTTGCACAGTCACTGCCCTACACATATGTCGAAGCACTACTCAGAAAGCTGTGTAAATGGGAACTGAACAAACACCAGTGAACAAAGGCAGCCTCAGCAACATGTACAAGTTCTGGAGCTCATCAATCCTATAATAAATGGGAGAAAGAACTGACAGTGCCAAAAATGCCTTTTTCTTAATCCAGTAAGAGTGTTGCATCAACCACTTGTAAGGCAAGGCTGGACTTCAGCCCAGAAGCTATGACATTTAGTGCCCTGCCCAAGACAGTCTTGGGATGAGTATTACAAGAGCAAAGAAAACTAAGTTACGTAAGATTTAGGGGCACAAACTAGATCACTCTTTGTGACAGTAATTTTGTTCCCTCTCACAGGTGTGAATATATTGTCTTGAACTGACTTTGGGATGGCTGTAATTATGTCATGAATGACTGAGACAGACAATTTATCAGCAATGTGTAGTAGTTTGGCAAAAGTGGCAGAAGTATAGTCCTCTGTACATTGATTTGGGCACTGCCACATGTGGAGAGCAGGAGACAGATTCCTGAAGAGTATACATTTATTTAATCATTTAAATCTGGTTTTATTTAAGTGCATTTCCGTTAATGTAAAATACTTACTGTGGAAAGGTAGGATGCATGTAGGGTAAAAACAGACTTCAGCCATCGAACCATTAGTGAGGCACTGGAAAAAATAAATTAATTGTATCAAAGAGATACTGGCTGAGAGACCCCATTTCACATTCTAGATGCTAAACAGTTCCATAGAAAGTGTTCCTTTCTCGTTAGATAAAAAGATAAATGCAGATGGAAATGTAACAGTTTGGCTATCCAGATGAGATATGTAAGTTGCTAGGAAAGAACAGACACTTCAGTGAGGGACTAAACGAGATGTGTTCAGGAGTCTGTGCTTCTGACATCTTTTATGGGAGGTCTCAGTGAATAAAAGATCAAAGCGTGCTACTTTTTTCTCCTCCTCCAATAAGGAAATTTATATTTAGGAAAATAAAACTCAAACCAACCTAACTCCCACAATTCAGTACAGCTAGTCTCAGCAGAGCTGTCCTTATGGCAACATAAGATGGGGGAGAAGCTGGTTTTGTTATTAAATACAATACCTAGAGAAGTCTAAATACATTTGATAATAAACTTAATAAGCTGATAATTAAATTGAAAATGTGATAGCTATTTTAGCTTACATATTGATCAGGTTCACACTGTCAACATGTGGGGATTTCAGTTACATTCTTGGGATTACACACTTATTTCAGGTATCCTTTTCCCTTTTTAATTTCACTTCAGCCATCCTGAGAAAGCCTTAATTAAAGTTCCTCTTTGCATCCACAATCAGGTGAGAGTTTCTACCTCCAGATGCTGCAGTTTAATTACAGTTACTGTGGAAATCAACCATACAGGTGGTGGGAGGGACCCTAACATACACACAAAGTTTCAGGTGAATTAAACTGTAGTTGTCTCACCTGTATGGGTTGCCCTGCAGTCTCTTCGTAAGCTAAAAGGACAAAAAATAGTCAGCAATAAGTAACAAACATAGTGAGTTTAAAACCCCAACATTACATCCATGTGACAGGCCCGATACTGCGGCAGAAAGTTCACCAGACATCTGAAGTTTGCTAAGATTAACCATAGCCAGGCTCCAGAAAATTACATTGCTGGCTCTACCATCCTGTAAACAGGCTGATAACACAAGCTGAGTTTCATGACTGCAAGAAAGCTGTAACTCTTAAGAGGAAATATATTTGGCAAAACTTAAAGCTGGCAGGAGTGAGTAGAGGGAAACACCTTTTTTATATGTTTTTGAGTATCTGCTTAGTAAAGCAGTTGTTACAAGGTGGACAATTTGGGGAAACAAGTGAAGGTAGTATCAGGTAAAGGCCACTTCCTAGAACAAATCTCAAGCTCCGGGGAAGGCAGTTACATGAAGGTCTGTCCATCCACTGAGATTATACAGTCAAACACTTGCACTTAAATTGCCCTGACAAAGGTCCCAGGGAAGAAATGCTGCATCTCATTAACATAAGCCTAAGGAGGTGCTGCAAGACTATACATATAGCACCAGGACATCTGCATAACTCAGTTAAGATCAGTACTATAAGTAAAAATTAAATCTTATTTGTGGCTAGCACATTAAAAACCACAAGAAATCTAACCATTAACTTCTGTTGTAGATGTCATTCAATAACAAAAGCAACTAATTGACATTCAGTTTAAAAAGTAATGTCTAGTTCAGGCTAATCATTAAAATATTTCTGTCCAAACACAGATTTTATTTAATATCACTTAATAAGCAGTTCAGAAGCCAAATCCCTTTTAAAACTGCTATTAAATAATGTTGCAAAGCTTAAGTACAGCAACGGGGCTTCTGATTATTTTCAAAACAGGAAAGAAATTACCCCTCATTTTCCAAGTGTCTTGTAAACTCACTGTTCTAAGTGGGCATTCTGTTTTTCTTCCTCTCATGTGAGTATCTGGCGTATTTATGCTCATATAGCTTGCTCTGGCTAGCACTGCTATTTTCATGCTTCAAATTATCATCCATGTTAGTAGGTGAAAATAAGATGTAATGGTAATTGTTTGCCAATTACTAAACATGCTTTTGCTTAATCTCTTCCATTTCTTTTCCCCACATAATCATTTAAGATACTATTACATGATCTAATGCTCTTCCTAGCTTTGACAGCAGCACTTGGTGCTTTGCTTAAGCTTCAGCCAGAGAAGACAAAGAGAGTATCAGAGATAAATTAAGACACATTGCTGACCCATTAGAAGTACCAAACCAATTTCTTTAGTAAAAACAAAGAGACATATCTTGGATTTTCCCCAGCTAGAATGCAAACCACATGTGGCTTGTATGACAGTACAAGAAGGCCAGTGTCTCCTACCTCATGCAGCAGTGGAATGACAGCATATATAGGCATTCTGGCTACTGTGTTCTTGACTATGTTTTCCTTTCTTGTATTAAGCACTTTCTGTTAAGATGAAAAAATATGATCAGAGAATCATTCAGATCCAACATGTGTATAAGCAATCAGCACAATCAAAAATTCCTGGCTTTTAATCTCTTTTTCTACTCCACTACCTTTGTATGCTAAAATGAGGATAATGAGCAAAAGATACGCTATGAAAAGGAGTTCCATTTTCCAAGTCAGCTACAATTAACTAAGTAAGACACTCGATTAATCCATCTAAAACAATCTGCCAGTGCCTCTAACCCACCTGTCTCATGTTCGAAATGATGCATCACAGGCACATTAAAATTTCTCTTGCTATTTTCTGTTTGACTTCTGTAAATGCATGCTTTTCATCAGCATCAGTGACAAGAAATTTCTATTTGGTGTCAAAATCTTAACATTTCTGTGCCCCAGTACTTTTATTTCCTCCCAGTAAGCTTTTCAAGTGAAACTGTTGTCTTCAAAGCATTTTTCAAACACTATCTACTTGAAAGCTCAGGAGACTAAACACAGATTACACTCCAGCTCAAGCTAAAGGGAAGATCTGAACTGTGACATAACAAATTTATCATAAAAGAAGTGCCTCCTAGTTCATGGATTTACTCAGGAGGCAAGGTAGATAACAACAAAAAAATAGTACTGCCACTATAATTCATAATACCACTCCCTTTAGCAACAAAAGCAGCTGGGAGAAACAACAGATCTTGACTGTTCAGCCTCCCCAGCTTTCAGACGGCTCCCCACAAGCCCCAGTAAATAAATTGAACAGCACACACTGAGCTCACAACACTTACATTTAAGATTTCTGCATCATCGCTTTCCAAGCCCTGAACCAGCAGCACGGCTAAGCTGTCTGTTTGTGGAAGGCCACCTGGAGTTTTTACTTTGCTCACATCAATATCCAATGCCCCAAGGCGCTCCTCAATGCTCTCCTGCACATGGAAAATAAGGGCAGTGCTGTTTCAGTGCAGCTTCTCAGAAATATCAGCTGAAAACAAAGTGACTTACAGCATTCCCTCTAATTCTTCTGGGAAATAATGTGAATTTTGCATATTCTTTTAAATGTACTGATAGCATGAGAAATGTTTTGACCGAAAGACACTGATATACTTTGGCACAGACAGACAGACACAAGCATGTCACAAAGTTCTGCAACAATGTGGCAAAACTACGGACAAGGCACACAGGGCTTGAGTGAAGGAAATTTCTCTTCCATACAAAAAGATGGTATCGTTAGCCTTTCTTCCACGCCAAACAAAGCAAATTCAAGTTCACCAAAAGAAGGCATAGTGATGATTTATGATTCTAGTTTCTCCATTACTGCTGTGTTTAAAAAGAGGAAGGCCTTTACCTCTGTCTCTCCTGGTTTCCTCTTGTTTTTCTTTTTCTCCTTTCCCGAGGCTGGAGTTTTGACAGCTGTACTATGTCCTGGAATGCCAGGCACTAGAACTTTGGTGTCCGAGTTCACAACAGGCGTCTTTACCTAGGACACAGAGATACCACATTTGCATGAATTGATAATACCTTGGGTTTTCTTCCAATTTAAAATACTAATTTTATTCCGAGACTCACACATACATGGTAAAACCAGCCTGACACAACCCATTTTCTTGACATATATATTAGGAAATGTGACATTTTTTAAGAACGATGAATAACCTCGAGTAACAGTCAGCTAATTTTCATAATTAACTAAAGCAGCTGTCTCTTTGGAATCACCTGTGAATTATTTTTCTTGCAAGCTTTTGTACAGAAGTACACCTTTGTATGCAACAACAAATAAGTGGATGTTTGCTAGCAATAGATACCACGTGTACTAACAGTCAGCCCCATAAAACCGCATGCAGATTAATTCAGCAGCCACTGGAAGGCAGTAACTCACCACAAAAAGCAGCACAATGTAATAGTAAAAGGTAGTTACTACTCATGTCAATCCCACCTACATTCCTCTTGGGATTGCTCAGACACAGAACTCAGTTGTCTGAATTAGACTATGATGATGGTGACAGACAGAGCAACCTTAGGTTATACCAAGCAAGCTAAAGTATCATCTTCAATGAACACAGAGGAGATGGAATTTTAAAGGCAATATATTCAATAATCAAATGCTCCCCTGACCCTCAGAGGATGTAAGGGAGTATATGCCATTTCCAGAATATCAAGAATGCTACCAGCTACTTCAAGAACACTTTTTAACCACAGCACTTCTGTCCAGACCTTTTTTTGAAGTACCTACCCAAACTTCTGCACTTGTGGAAGCCCTGCTGGGTGCCCACTGAAGTGATATAAACATAATCTACTACAGTGAGCAAAGCACCTTCCATACGCTGTGTGTAAAAGTAGAAAACACTCATTTTCTGGCTCAAGAATTTTAACACAGAACAGCAATGGTGTTAAAAATACTGCCCCCTTTGCTCACCACACTCATCGCTGACCTTCTCCCCACACGACATGCTCAGACAGCCAAGAGAAATGCGTCTTCACTGGAATTCAGCAAGAAGCGAAACCAAGATGGGTATCATCACTGCATGCCAGGGAGTTCCTACACCTCTCACTGCAATTCAGCTCTGCTACCCACCAGCTCCAGGGCTGAGGAAACAGCACAAAACCCCGCCTGGCTGATGGAGCACCAGATCCACTTTAGGGTCAGAAAAACAGCGCTGTCTGCTCACTTCACTGATACTCCAAGCATTTCACATCTTCAAGGCCTTGAATATGCACAATGATTAAGAACTCCACAGCCTGTCTCTAAACACCCAGGGGATCCTGCATGAGAGAAAACAGTGGCAAGTGGCCTCAGTGGACACTGCTGCCATCCATGTAAACGCCAAGCTCACACTTCCCAGGTCCCTGTCGGTAGGAACACATAAAGGCCACATCAAGAAAGAGCCAAAAGGATGTGCCATTTAAGGTTCCATTACATTTTATTTAGACTCCAAAACAAGCCATCCCACCTTCACCCCAAACCATCAGGGTCAAAGAGGCCGTACAAACCGACAGACTCTAAGGGAAGGACTGATCACAAGCAGAAAAACCCCACCAACGAGTCCTGTCTCTCAAGCAGACCTGCTGACAACAGGAGGGTCACTGTGTTCCTTCCCATGTGCCAGGATACACAGGAGCCACAGAGTTCTTACGCACTCCTGCCTGAGCACTACAGACATCAGTAGCTATCGCTGCAGCTCTGAACAGGTCCATCCAGAAATCCAATCTCGTTTTAAGTGAATCCTACCATTTCCAAAGTAAAAGAGAAGCAACAAAACCGCATTTTAGGCAAAGCTCACCTTTGTTAGAGCAGCATCTGTTTTAAGTGACAACACTTTCTGGATGTCCCTTACCAAACATATGTGCGGTTCACTGGTGTTCAAAGACTAGAAGGACAGGAACAAAACCAGTTAATATATTTGACATTCATACCTGTGATTTATTATGCCACTTAAAGATGAGAACAAATTCCAGAGGCATAAATTAGAATGAACCTTTTTTTTCATTCTACAACTGCGGCTCCTTTGCATATCTGCCTTTTGTTACCAGATCTCTATGCTCTACAAAGGAGTTCAAACAGGTAAACTGAAACATTGTCAAAACCAGTTTCCATGGCCTAACTCAGTAACAGCTGAAAAGGCAAGAAACAGCCAGCAATACGTCAAGCTATACTCTAGTTATAAGAATGGAAGAATACAAATGACCTTTTGAAACAGCTCTGGGGCAATGGTCATAGCTCTCAAAAAAAAAGGGCAAGGAATATGTTTTGTATTGTTATATAATTTCAAAAAAGTACAAAAAGTAAAAACAATAAACCCACAAATTTCTCCAACTGACAGCAGAATACAGTCGATATAAAGAGAATCCAAACCCCCTCTGGTAAGTTTTACATACCACTTTCTCTATGACAGGCTGTGAGGTGTTTCCATACACCAGCAGCAGAGACTGTTTGTCCGTACAAAACGCAGCTGCTAAAATAGGGACTGGTTTCGGTGTGGAGTCCCCGTCATTTCCAGGTGTTGCTATCTGGATAGTACAGTTTGATGTTAAGGGTTTTTTGCAATAACTGGGGGGGAAAAAAGAAAGAAATTAAAGAATTCCAAGAGGTTTAGCTTGAACACTTCAGTATCCTGCACATCTAAGCACCTTTCATGAGCAGGTACTCAGCAATCTCAGCCATTTACAGCTTTCACAGATGGCTAACATGAGGCACAGACACAAAATCTGGGCTAAAGCCACACTTAATACTGAAGTGCAGCACAGTCACAACAAACAAGTTCTCAAAAAATGTGTCCAGCAACCCAAGACAAAGAACCAGCTGATTTGCAGCAGATACAAGAACTTAAAGGCAGTAGAATAACAAAACTGAACTTTGCCTTACAGTAATCTTCCCAAAGACACCCCCAAGATGAGTACTAACTTACCCATTTAAGATATGTTCAAATAAATGCAACTGCCCATCCCTGCACACAACTGCTAACTTTACAGGCTGAAAGAAAGCACAGTAACAGAGTTTAATTAGATCAAAGGACAAACCTCTTGGAAATACAGGACATCAAGGGACAGTTGCAAAGCTACAATTTGACTTTTTTCAATGCCTAAGCACATTAAACTAAATCTGTAAGGAAGATCAAAGACATAACAACTCATGGCCATTTAGTAGAACAATTAGGAGATAAAAATACTACTCCTAAGTGTGCTTTACCGTATCTCTACTAATACATGCCAATTTGAACAGTTTGCACACTAGCAGACGTGTCTAGAGGCACAGGCCTACAAAGGCACTGACACTGTAAATATGCTTAGAGGAAAGAAACTGATTTGAGTCCTCTGAACAGTTAAATGACAGGGGTACATTACAGAATACCCTCCAATACATGCAGTAAGAGGGAACAACTGGAAACATTAGAAAAATACAGCATGAAATTCTAATGACAGCAGAAGAAAAAATGTTTTATATAATTAATGAAACAGTTTGTTAACATGTTTTACATGCACATATTTTTCATAAGGCAACTGCTTTGAAAGATTTGTCCTTGCTAAAACTGCAACTTGGGCAATGAGTTACTTTAATTCATGAAAGGCTAGTTAATTCCAAATACTGCTACATCGCCAAAACCACCTGAAATCAGAAACAAACAGGACCATACTCAAACCAGATTTTTAGAAATAATCTATTTTGTGGGTTTTTTTGCTGCCAATTTCTAACAACCATTTTGATTACTAACTTGTTCTAAATAGGAAACAACTGACATTTCCGATATCAAAAACAAAATTTCTGAGAAAAACCACTGAATTTGCACTTTTCTTGCTTTGATAAGGAGTATTTCAAACTATCAGCTTTATAAATGCACCTGTAATAAATATTCTTATACACATGAATTGGCATTCAGATCTCATCTCTGCCTCAGAGAACCTAAATACAAACCAAGTTTCTTTCTTTAGACCTTTAAATGGAAACTGATATGATAACTGAAAATTGTTGAACATATATGGTTACAGACTGTTGCTCCTACCTCTTCTTTGACTTCTGATACAGTCAGGTCAACAAAAATTGGTTCATCTGTTACTGCAAAAGACATCACAGCATTCTTTTCTTTTCTATCTGACCTGATCTGCCTGGAAGACATGAACAGTACACATTATTTAGCACAGCACAAACAGGACTCTCTGCACCTGACAAGCATTATAAATCACTAGCAACTGTGGTAGCATCTACCACATTCAAAAGTATCCTGCTGACTTTTCAGTTTTCAGCTTAGAAGATATTCTAGCTTCCAAGTGCAAATAACTCTCAGGGAAAATTGAGCAAGAAAACTTTACATAAACCTTACAGCAAGTGCAAAGAACAAGGAATTTTGTTACACAGTATGTTCTGGCACACAGTGGTGATACAAATGGCAACTGGAAGCATGCTCAGACACAGCCAAGGAAAATCACGTCTTCACCCAACAATCAGTGAGTCGAAACCACCATTTAAGAGATCATCACTGCATTTTTCCAGAGTGCCCCTTCTGCTTCACCTTCTGTTTAATCAGAGTTCAGAACACACGTGGTAAGTCTGTGCTCAATACTGATCACAAGTAAAGTCACAAATTATGAAAAGCTTACATACCATACACTCAATAATCGGTCGTGTATGGCTCCAGACAAGAAATAAAGTCCTGTAATCCCATCAAAAGGTATGCTTTCGTTCATAGGTTTCACTGTGGTAAATATTAATGATGACACTGATGTAGCATGGCCTGTGAAATGCTAAGAGAAAAAACAGAATCTTTCAGTGATTGTCATAAGCAGCCTTACTGCAAAAACCAAAACATTAGTTAACAAAGAACACTAGGAAAGATTCAAGTGTCAACAAGGACAACTCAGTGGTGTTTTTAACTAGCGATCAGCTTCCTTGCATTTCTCTGTCTGGCCAGATATTTATCAGCATTTTCAAAGTTAAATGAGGAATCAAAGGCAAATCCACTGGGACTAAATTCATGCAAAAGATATCACATCCACCTGTACTACTGTTTCTGTCACAAAGCATTCCCCCCTGCCCCTGCAATTTTACACTTTAACTTTCAAAATGAAACTAGATTCTTAGTTTCATTCTCAGCTTTAAGAACGGACACACAGATGTGCTGACACACTAAGTCTGTGCAACACATCACCCCAGGCCCCCAAAAAATGGTTCTTCAATCTACTTCTGCAAATAGTGGTTTTGGTCATCCTAGGATGCAGACATACACGGTAGTTGCCATGAGCCAGCAAGACCATGGTAACAGCACCTGTGCACACATGAGTGCTTTGTGACTTACCTGACAGCAAGTACGAGGAGATTCAGAGGCCAGCTGTGTCCTACCTGCTGGCAGGCAAGAGAACATGGCTGCACTCAGGGATCACCTAAAGCCTGGCTATTTGCTCATGTCTGAGCCCTGCCCAGGGAAAAAGGAGTTCGCTCCTATGCCTTCCAGCTGTTTCAACAGCAAAACTGGTAATGCCACCATTTACACAAAGCTTAGCAAGGAAACTTGAAGGCTTCATGGAGGGGAACTCGTGTTACAAGTCAGGGAGCTCACAGGCAAACCCAAGCCAGCAGTAACTGATAGGGTGGTGAACTAAGTTCTCCTGCCAGAGAGGTATCAGGCAGGGACCCAATGAAAAAGAACAGCATCCATCTTTCTCCCACAGGCTTGAGAAAGAGTGCTGGTAGCATGCCCAGGAATAGGAATTTAATGTCCTCATTCAACTTGCAGGAAGTTGAAACCACAGTTTAGGGTATCATGAGAGCAAAAGCTTTCAGCAATCCCGAAACTGCCAATTGTCTCCTCACACACAGTGAAATTTTCAGATGTCTGATCAGGGAACACTTGGTAAGTAATGTCACCAATCAAGAGGGGTATTTTTTTGCATCTAGTTTAACAGAGGTACAGAGGTACTTACTCTGTAGACTTCTTTGGTCTCCAAGTCCCACAGTTTTATAGTTCTACCAGCTGACAGCAGCATTTTTCCATCTGGACTGATGCATAGACAGGTGACACTGCTATTGTCGCCTTTCCACTTACTAGAATTTGGATGGAGGGGTTTTTGTACAAAGGGAGAAAGATGGAGAAACAAAAAAAAAAAACCAACAACATTCATTAGGATGATCTCAAAATGCACAACCACCATGATGGAAAATATAAGGCAAAATTTAAAAAAAATAGTAATTTAAGTAGTCAAAGATTAGATCAAAGCTATTCTGCTTCTGGATTTTGCTGAACTAGTTTACAAAAAACTGCAACAACTCAATAATATAAAGCTATTAAATAGTGAAATGTTCCTCTCTCAAAGTTCTCTACTACTGAAAATAGGGCAAAAAGAGCCATACCATCAATTTTCAAGACTTCTCTGTGCACCATAGTCCAAAAAACTTGCACCAATTCACTCAGAAAGGCCTTCTCAACACTAAAATTCAGAGTTTCAAAGCCCATTCAGTTCCTGCCTGGTTCTCCTCTCAAGTCTGTCAATGTCACTGACAAAACCAAACTTCACCTTAATGTTCTGTGGTTCAAAGCACTATTTAAAAATAATAATAATTAAAAAAAATAAAAAGGGGAAAAAATAAATACGGTGTCATGAAAAGCCTGAAATCTGTTTTGAAGGAATACAAATACTACATGTTGCTCACAGGACAAAACTGCAAGGAAAGCACGAACACAAACCCTTTACAGTTTGGACACAGCCTGCAACACACCACATTCTGACTGTAAACAGCTCTTCTGGGAATACCTCCAAGTAACTTTCACATGCCCAAGTAATGCCTCTCCTGTCTTCCAAACAGAGATCATTTGCTGTATCACTTTTGATAGAAGCTGAAACTTTTACAGCCCACAAACCTGACAAACAGCATTACACCTTACAGAGAGCATGACACAATTTTGTATTCTTTTCCAAAGAAGGGGTCAAGACTAAGAATTTCAAACCATTTAATAATCTAAACCAATAAGGTATTTTCAAATGTTCTAAAAAGACAAGTCTAAAGTAGACGGCAGAACATAAGACAGAGCAAAAATCTGTTGGTTTTCAGTTTGGATACTCTTCACATAATTTTTACAGGAAAGAGTTTTAAACATGATCTCATAAAACAAGAAGCTGCATAAGATGTCCAGAATGCCTCTGGCAGTAGTCAGAGTACTTAAGACATGAAAAAGCTAGAGAGAAACAAGAAGTCATCCAGAATGATGTTTCAGACTACCTCTCTGCAACACCTTGCCTTGCCTCTTCAGAAACACTGTCTTGTCCCTCTGCCAGAGATTTCATGTGGGCTGCACAGACCTCCTGAAGTGGCCCTATGGAGTACTCCTACAGTAGTTAGGAAAGTCAAGACTAAAGCCATATGGTTTCTATTGCCTGTCTAGCAGTCTACACCTCTACAGAAACATGTCTAGAAGCCTGTAAATGAAAAAAAAAAAAAAGAAAAAAAAGAAAAAAGTTGAATACCACTTCTCTACCCCAGGAGCAACCATCTTGATTTCTCTGTGGGTTATACAAATACTAATTTCCAGGTCCTGACAAGCGTTAAAGAATGCAAGCGCTCACATGTACATTGGGCATGAGCAACTATTATAGATATTTGTTCCTTCTAGTAGGCAAAATTTTAAGAGAATTGCTTTCTTGTACTCTTCCCAATTTCAGCCATCTTAGATACGACTCATAATATTACCAGAGAAAATCTTCAGCTAAAAATCATGATGTTATATGGCTCGTGTACTTTTAATCTATACACTCCGGGAATTATTTTCTGTTGCCATCTTTAAAATGAAAGAACACAATGCTTCTAATTACATTTCATAACCACAGCCTCCCCCTCCCTGGTCCCTGGCATGGGACAGGAGCAGAGTGAAACACCCAAGAACAAGCTTGACTGAAAAAATTCTCATGTTTCCTGAGAAAGCAGCATGTCTGGGACTCATCTCAAGTACTTGTACATGAACACACACACACACACTGTGGGATACAAAGAGAGTGAATTACATGTTCATGGGCAGCTTCAGAGCTTTGATCTCACTGGGCTCATGGAACAACAGCTGGATGCCTTGCAAGACAAGGACCTTTACAAAGGTACTTTAGAAACAACATGCCAGAAAAGCAAAGAGAAGGGGGGGGGTTTCCACATAAAAAGGTAGCATGAATGCACAGAGCTTTCCTCTGAAACAGGCAAAGGGCCACTGCAGAACTTGCAGGTATGAGAAGAGATCAACAAGGGAGCAGCGGTGCACATCTGTTACAGATTGTCCAGTAAACAAGAAATTGATAAATCTTCATAATCCCAGGCCCTGGCTCTTTTAAGGGGCTTTAACCACCCCAGCAACTGCTGGAAGGGCAGCACAGGACTGCACATCCAGTCCAAGTCTGCTTGGCAAGTGCTGAAGAGCTCTTCCTGATGCAAGTGCTTCGCAACCATACTATGAAAGGTGACTTTTACTGGATCAGCCACTCAAAGGAGAAAAAAAAAAGCACTACAACCTTCAGCTATAGCAACCACAAGACAATGGAATTCAGAACCCTGAAAAAACAAGAGCAGTATAAACAGCAGAATTACAATGCTGGACTTCAAAAGAGCAGACTGCAACTTATGCAGAGAACTGATTGGCAGGATCACACTGGTGACTGCCCTCAAGCAAACAGGGACCCAGGAAAGCTGGTTGTTCTTCCAGGATAACCTCCTCAAAGCAAAAGAAGGGTCCCCTCCAATGAGCAGGAAATCACCAGTTACTGCAGAAGGCTGGCTTGGCCAAGTTGGTAACTCCTGACTCACCTCAAAAGAACAAAAAGAGAAGTATGGAGAAGGTGAAAGTCGAGATAGACTACATAGAAGAATACAGAAATATTGTCCAGGCATGCAGCAACAGAAAATGCCAAAGTTTAGCTGGTATTCAAGCCTGCAGGGAATGTGAAGGCCAACAAAAGGACACCTACACACAGCACATCATCAGCAATAAGATGATGACTGAGGAATGTGCAGAGCTGATGCTGAATGGTGTAGGGACCCATTCAGTACACCGAAAAGGCCAAAGCACTGAAGGGCAATGTCTCACGGGCCTCCCATGTTCTTGAGCTTGTGCCAGTCAGAAGTAGCATCTGCCATAGTGAAGGGACATCAAATTAGGGATCACAGCAGCAAATTCTACACCTGTGACTCCTTAAGATTGAATGGGATGCATCCAGAACTCCCAAGACCAGTGTTATTACAAGACTCCGATACCATTTTGAGTAGTCACACAGGCTCAGGAGAAATTTCTGATGACTTGAAAAAAAAAGAGAAAAGACAAAATATATCCACAGAAGGAGAATCCAGGAAACAGGGAAGGTTATACAACAAATACACCTGGAAGCCATTTCCAGGCACTGAAAGGTCAGAAAAGTCAGTGGGCACATTCAGCATTAATTTATAAATGGCAAATTGTGTCTAGCCAACCTGATTGCCTTCTTAATGAGACAACTGTCTTGCTTGATGGGAAAAGAGCAATGTATGCCATTTAACTTGACTTCAGCAATGTTTTTGACAATGTCTCACATAGTCTCCTTGCAGCCAAGTTGGAGATACAAAGCCTGAATGAATGGACTCTAAGGAGGGTAAAATCAGGCTGCATCACTCAGTTCAAACAGTTGTGATCACAGGTATGAAGATCAGCTGGTGGCCAATTACTGGTGTCATTAAGGACATCCCAATATTGCTTAATATCCTCCATAATTGCCCAAGTCTTCATTAATGATCTCAAAACAGGACAGAATGCACACGTAACAAGCTCACATTCAATACCAAATCAGGGAGAGCAGTTGATATGCTGGAGGGCAGGGCTGCTACTCAGGGGCATCTCAGCAGGCCTGGGAACAAACAGGTTGTCAGAATCTAAAAGCTCAAAGGAAAATGTAAAGGCCTACAAGTGGGATGGAAAAACCCCAGTACCAGCTGGGGACAAATGGCTAGAAAGTAGCTTTGCAGGAAAGAGGCCTGTGGTCCTCATAGTCAAGTTGAACATGAGCAAGCAGGAAGTCCTTGTGGAAATGAGACCAACTACATACTGATTTGCATCAGCCACAGTGTCATCAGCAGGTCAAGGAAGGTGATTCCTCTGCTCTGTGCAACTCTTCTGAAACTGCATCTAAGCACCACATCCAGTCTGGGGCAGTACAAAACAGTCACTGACGCAGTGGACTAAATTCAATGGACAGCCACGAAGGCAGCTTAGGGACTAGAGTACGTAATGGAAGAGGGAAAGATGAGGGAACTGGGTGTGTTTAATCCTAAAAAGAAATGGTAGAAGGAGATTTTGCAGCTGTCTTCTGCTACTTTATGTCAGTGTCTCAATGCCATCTAAGGATGCATGTCTTTTTTAGGGAAATCACAGAGGCTACTGACGATGGACTGCCTGCAGTGCCCATGCCAACCTTAACAGAACCAAGAGAGCTGCAGTACTAAAACAACAGTGGAAATGTTATGAAAGAGAAAACACATCAAGAGAAGGATCAATGGGCCATCACATACTAGGCTTCTATTGAAGAAAGATAACCAGGACTATTAATAGAAATTTTGGGTTGTTCTTTAAGTTTAAAAACAGTTTGACTTTATTACAAAAGAAAATAAATGCCCACAACAGACATCTTGTTACTCTGTACTAAGCTCTATTTTGCTCAACAGTAGTTTCAACAGTAGCAGCCTGCTCAGACAGCCAAGTGGAACTGTCCCCACTGCACATCAGTAGTGAGCGAAACCAGGTGGGTTATCATCATAGCAAGGCCCTTTGAGCAAAGCCAGGTGCATGTAACAGGTTCAACTGGGATGAGGTCTTCCAGTATCTGCTGCACTCTGTTTTTGAGGATTTTATCTAGAACTAAGATTTTCCATAATTTAGAGCGACTTCTAGTCTTTTAGTCCCACTAAAAGTTAGTGTGGAGGGAACCAAATCCCTCTCAATTTCACCCAGGCTTTCCAATACACGGAGGATGACAATCACTCTTTCATCCCTTAATAAAACCACTTCTAATCTCAGAAAAGTAACAGCAACAGTCAATTCTGCACAGTGGGCATGAAGCCTGGATAGCAGAGTGCACCACTTCCAAAGGGGCCTCACTAAAACCTGCAAGGGAGGAAAAACACAAAAGCAAGAGCAAACAAATTTGACTGAAAACTGGCATCACTCACCACTTTACTTTGCAGGTCTGTGTGTTCCATTCCACAATGTGTTTGTCCTCTGAACAGCTATACAAGCAGCAGTTGTCTGGATGCCATCTTACACAGTTTACTCTACTGTCGTGACCACCATCCTACAAAAGGTTAAGAGGGTCAACTCACTGAAGTATCAACTACTGAGTCTTCCCCACTCCAGCAGTGTGAATAAAGTGCTCTTTCAAGAATTAAATTCAAATCATTAGCAACTTGGAGAGTGTGTGTGGTTTAAAAGACAAACATACATATAAAGTTATACAAATATAAGATATTTCTTATTTTGATACATGCACATAAGTAATTTGGCTTGGTTTATTCACCCTAGAGAGGAGGAAACTGAGGGTAGACCTCATTGTGGTCTACAGCTTCCTTACGATGGGAAGTGGAGGGGCAGGCACTGATCTCTTCTCTGTGGTGACCAGTGACAGGACCCAAGGGAATGGCAGGAAGGGGGTCTGGGGGCAGTTAGTTTGGATATTAGGAAAATAATATCCAGAGGGTGGTTGGGCCCTGGAACAGGCTCCCCAGGAAAAGTGGTCACAGCACCAACCCTGCCAGAGTCCAAGAAGCATTTGGACAATGCTTTCAGACACATGGTGTGATTTTTGGGGTGGCCCCGTGCAGGGTCATGTAGAAGCCTAGAAGATCAGGGGCTAACGTATGTGTCTCAAACACTGAGAGCCACCAGAGAGCCATGGAGCCCACCAAGGATTGTTGGCAAGAGCACGTTGTGAGAAAGAACAGGATGTGGATGGAGAAGGGGGCCATGTGAAGGTAGGGCAGCACTTTTCTGGGACAAATGTCCTTGTTCTGGCTCCTGGTGGTAAGCACAACAGCAAAGTCCAAGTGTGGGAACGAGGTCGAAAAATGGGCATTGACTGATGACCAAAGGCCCACCCAGTAGGGGGGATCAAGACCACCAAAGACCCCCAAAACCCTCCAACCCATTTCCAGACAAGTCTAGAAGAACAAACTGTACGTGGTAACTAAACTGCACAGAAAGTAAGAAACTTGGCTCTGAGGTGGAGCCAAGACTTGTCTATAAAAAAGTACCCCTACAAAGCCCAAGTGGCGAGCCCAGGACACTGGACACCCCATCAACTGGATCGACGCTGCAGCCAGGACTGGTGATCCATCTTTCGCTCTTTCTCCTGCTTTTTCATCTTTCTATTCTCTTTCACCCTATCCCTTACTCAAAATCCACTGCCATGTTTTTACACTAGAAGAGACTAAATTTTACTGATTTCCATGCCAAGTATGTAACTTACTACTAAGGTTTTGTGGACCCTTTGACTCTTGTCGTTCCTTTTCAACCACAAGCATCTGTGCACCTGCATAGTCCCTTCCCTTTCATGGTGAGACACCACAGGAGAGGAGGAGTTGAGCCTTGATGATCCTCGTGGGTCCCTTCCAACTCAGGATATTCTATGATTCTATGGTTTTTCTAGCACTTCAGAATTAACAAAAACTTGCCTTGCCTACTGTTTTTACACACACAGCCAAACAAGGCTAACAGCATGACATTTACTCAAAGGAAAGGCTAGCAAAGGTGTCTTGCTGATGGTCATCTAAGTGCCTGCTTCCTTAAGAGCACTCAGAGATCAGGAGCCTCCTCTTTTAGATCAGCATTCAAGAGCAAGCTATCATCAGATCAGAAGACCCTACAAGGGGTATCACTCACTCCTCTTAATAACCACAGTCTTTGCAGCTCCAAATGTACCCTTCAATCATTTATGACGATATTTCATGAAGTTTATAAAATTTCACTATTTGGACCAGTAACAACCTGCTCAGACTACTCCCAGAAGTATCCCTGCAAATCAGCTTTGAGCAAAACAAACAACACTGCAGAAAGATATTCTGTTCAATAAGGACAGCTAAAAGTAATGTCTCTATTCTAATAACAGGAGTAATCTTTTAATTCGACCTACCTTTAAAAAACACAGTACTCATGAAATAACATCTGCTGCCTTGCTCCTATAGAAGAGCAGCCAGTGTCTTCAATCCAACTGAAACTAAATTTTAACCTGAAAACATATTTATTTTGCTCATAGTTTTCAAGCATACTTCTTCCATAAAACAGAGCTGATACTAACTAGCTACTGTGCTTTCTCTAAATTCATGTACACTTATCACTGTACATATAACTAACAGTTTAGAAGCAAAAGTATGCCCAAGTATCTCAAAATACTGCACAATCATTCATCTGGATTTATTTTGCTTGTTATATAACCCAAGACTATAGCCAAGTTACTTGGAAGTAACAGGGACATTATCAATTGGAAAGGTAAAATGCAAGTCAGTGTGTATCATTCGTAAGAGATGTGCTGAGAGAGCTCCAAAGCTTCCACAAGGGAGGTAAGTTTATAGAAAAGTTCATCAATCTGACACCTTCCCAAGCACTGGATGAGTACTGCCCTTTTCTCCAACAATACCATAAAGGAACTGAGGGTATGACACTTCCACAGAGGATTTAACTCTCCAGGTTAGGCATTTCATCACTACTGTTATTTTTAATGCAAAGTAACAAATCCATGGCCAACGTTAAGATATTGCATTAACTTCAAAACCAGGATTTTTCAGTCTAAACTGGCCAAAACCATCAGTATTTGGTAGCATTTGATGAAGTCTGTATTACTTACTAGCTTGCTCTGTAATTCTCCTTTTACTGTGCTGTACAACAAAATGCTACCAACTGCTGTACCAATAGCCAGGATATCTAACTGCTTGTCCACTTCTCCAACTTCAGACTTCCGTTTTTTCCTCTGAGGGCCATCCTGGAAAAACAATAAAAAAAGAGAAACCATACAATTAATTAGTTTGACTGGCTAATCACAGTGATAAAGCAGAGGGGGGGGGAAAACTCCCTAAGTCTGAGACCCAGTCGGACACAAAATGAAGACACTGAAGTGCACAGAAGCCTAGAGATCCATATTGTACCATCATGTACAAGGTAAGAGAGTTGCTAGGAGTCACTTGGAAACATCTGGTGGAGGCCATTTTGCTACCCTACCAACCATATCCATGCCGGGAGGAAATAATTCAAGTTTTTCCACAAAGTTCCTGTCCCAGAGGCAGAAGTAAAGATTAACACAATCAGAACACTTCACCCACAAAATGGAAATGCTTGACTGAGAATGACCGGATGTTTTTGTTTCTCCAAAGCTATTCAGAAGAGTCTTGCAAATATTCAGTATTCATAATGCTTCTTATGAAGAAAGTACTACCAAACTCCACAGGGGGAAATGACAGTAGTTGAAAATAAGTGCTCTGCCCAAGTCCTGTTGTCGGTACCAGAGGTCCTCCTACGATCAGGAAATTCTTAAATCTTCACTCTCTTGCTCTGCAAGTGCTATCAGCCAATTCAAGGGGGGATTTTACTTCATCTCTTTACCAAAAACACGTCAGCTGTTTTTGCATGGAGCATATCACTGGGAGGGGGAGAAGAAACAAAACTGGCTCCTGTGAAACTAAAGAGGGCAGAAGAAGCCACTGCATTTATGCTCACTGGGTTAATCCCACATAACTAATCACACACACACAAATGAAAAAAAAGAAAATAAAAACACTGTTCAAAGACTTCAGATGAGAAAAACATCCCTAACGCTATTGATAAGTTTTTAAATTGGACCTTGTTAAGTCTCCTTACATTTGTTACATCGCAGCATTTTCTCCAATTTAAGAATTATATGCAAGCTTATGCTTCCTATACACAACAGTCTACTTGCACTGACAAGTAAGCAGAAGATATATACAATGACAATCAGGATTTGGGAGTCTTCACTACAACTAAGATGTCCAAGTTTAACAGTGCAGGATAAAAGCTTTGGTTCTTTGAAGTGTGACTTTCTTATCCCCTATATTTAATACAGACACCTTCTGCAAGGAAAAGTGTTATTGTTTAGGCCAAGAAATATCAAAATACAGATAACTTTTACATCAGAAACAGGCTCTTGAGAAAAATTACACTGTGGTTTTTGCAAGTATTAGTTTAGGCTTCATCTTTCCTTGGAAAGAGAAGTGTTTATAAAATATTACAAAAACAGATGCTGAGAAACCATCACAGTCACAAAGCACAACCAGGTATATCAAGCAGGTTTTAAGAAAATATATGAGAAGAGTTTTAACTACTGGATTTTGGGGCAGCAACGACAACTAAGCAATTTTGAAATTGCTGTCTGACATTCAAAGGCAAGGGCCAAAGAGAGTGGAGATGAAAATACAATTTATGTGTTTTCTGGTACTTTTCAAGCTCTTAATGTAGCTTTACTAATTACCCCACACACTTCCACTGCAAAGCAAAATCAGTTAAGAATAGCTTTATTCTCTTCCCTTGCATAAATCTTTTAACTGAAACTTGTTCACACTCCCTTTCACCCCTCAGTTTGTTATGGTAAATTTCCCTTGAACAACCCAAAAGTACACCAGAATTCCCACTTAAGTGCACAGTTATTTCCAGTGCCAAGAAGAAAGCAAGAGGCAGCAAAGGTTCCTCCTGAAGTCAAGGGTTTTCTTCACATGCATTTCTTTAGTGACCACCCTTTATCAGCAGTATCAGTGGAGTATTTCGTCAGAAATTTTTGCACAAAGAAATGCCAGTGGAAAATTCAGACACCTGTTAATGTCTGAAATGATTTGAGAAAACACTCTTAAGAACTATTAAAAAAAAAGAAAAATCAATCAAACTTCTCTACCCTGCATTACATTAGTACATAGACAGTCTGCCAACTGCAGTAAACATCCATGTGGGATTCACTTATGGATCGGGGTCTTAAATAGAAGAGTACCCTGTTCTCATGGACAGGATAGGGGAGCTGAACTATACTAAGTATCAGTATCCTTGTCATTTGATCTCTTTCCATTTCCATTTCTCTTTCTTTTCCATTATTTATGGAAACTCAAGCTTATTTAGAAATCCTTCAACTTTGCCTGAAAAAGCAGTGTTTTCATTAGCGAGAGGGTTAAAAGAAGTTATTTGAAAAGGAACTGTGCACACATTTTTCCATCATGTTCTTACTTGACTAGGTAAGCCACAGACTTTTCTTTCTAAACAGAAACCCAATCTCTGCTGCTGTCATGTGAAATAAAGCACTTAAATCACCGAAATGGGGAGAAATCTAAAGGTCTTGACAGTCGATGATGACAGATCAGTTGCAGCTTGTTAGGAAGAAAGAGGAAGAAGGTATTTTGAATGCTGGAGGTGCACTCTTGCACAAGGCACCACATGGAGCAGCAGGAGATGAACACTGCACGTGGGAAGCACTGACACTGTGGAAGCACATGGGCAGGGAGCATCCCAGTAAGCCACTCCTACATCAGCAATTCCAGGGCCCGCAGTTCAAAACTCGATTTCCCCTGTAACACACGGCCTTCATTAAAATGGCAGCAGTCCAAAACATACTTACTTTAGGTGTCATTAGACCAAACACCATTTATAGACATCTACTGGCACAATTTTACCCCTGAACACCAAATACGTAGTACTACTTAGATGTCAATTCTCCAGCAACAGGTAAGAGTAAGTAATGTCAGAAAACACACATTTAATAAAATGTATTTGGCAGAACCATCATAGCTTCAGTTCTTCACCTCAGTCTAAGGACAAACCAATGATTTACGAAGGTTTATGGCATCATTATTCCAAGAAACAGTATGTTTTCCAGCTCCCCTTGAAAACATACCAACTTTCAAGCAGGGGACAGCACTCAAAATACTGGAATAATTAGAAAGCACTGAGAGGTGGCCAAATGGTGTCTGATTAGGTCCATTTTCATATAACCCTAAACCAGGTTAAAACCAAGGACCTGTGGGTTTCAGGGGTAGATCTCCAGAAAAGGGGTTTTTTTTAAACAAAAATTTTAAAAGCCACTCAGAGACCTCCCTGTGCTTGACTTAAGGCACCACAGCAGTGCAGTGTCAGCTTGAGTTTGACTCCATACAGAACAGATTAACCCCATTTTTACAGGCCAGTTTAAATTCATTTAAGAGCAAAGAACCACCTACACAGCTCTGCAACTAATGCACCCATTCTTTTTTGCTTCAAAGTTGTGTGACAGATGAACAGGTTCGAGCCAATCTAAAACTAACCCTTTTTACCACATTCTTCGTGTGTCCTGGGAGCTCTCGAAGTTCAGGGACTAAGTTGCTCGGCTGAGGAGAGCCTTTTGGGTTGGTAATCTGCGTGTTACACGTTTTAAAATACCCTTAACAGTATTTCAAATACACCGAATTGCTGATGTACCAAAACACACTTCAAAAAGCCCTTCCTCCTTCTTAGTGGACTTCACATACTTTTTCCAAGTGATAGATCCTTTTTCCTTAAGAAATGGTACATTCTAGTTAAAGAAAATAGGATTACTTCAACATTAAGAGGATAAAAAGGTACCTCAGTATATCCTCCGCATATTTTCAGGTTCAGTGTTCACCTGAAGTTAACTAAACTCTGCTCAAGGCGGAGAACATCCAAGCCCTCTGATGTGTGCTGTGAACAAAACTCCTGAATACCTTCTTGCAGGATTCCTGGGCTCGAGAAGATGCATCCCAGATAGTGTAGCAGCTTGCACAGGAGTACTTCCAAGGGTAAGGAAGCGTGGGGAGACAGAGCCTTTTACTGGAATGTGAACTAAGTGAGTGCACAGAGCCGACCTGCTCTGCGGCACCACCTCTTTTCGACCGACGCAAGGCACGCCGTGAAGTCAAACATACCTTGCTCCTTTTTCAAGGAAGGCTTCTTCCATGCAGGTTTATACGAGACAGATGTTTTTTTACACAGTCAGTGCCTCCACCGAAATTTTTTTTTGTTTTGATTAAAAAAAAAAAAAAAAAAAAAGGGGCAAAAAACCCCAACTAAACCCCTAGAAGCCGCTTCCCCCACTAACACGTGAGATTCACCTTGTGGAGCGCCATCCGGGCCGGAGGATGGCGGGGTGGCGGGGTTGGGGGGGGAGGGAGCGGATTTACGTCCCCTCCCTCCCTTCCCCCCCCCCCAACTCGGGGGGCGCCCCACACGTGGCCACACCGCCGCCAAAGGCGATAGGGGACGACGGGCCGTGCCTGAGCCCCGAGCCCCGCGGAGCTCGGCGGGACCCCTCACGCCGGCCCGCCCGGCCACATGGCGCCGTGAGGGGCGGGGTGAAGTCGAGCGGGCCGCGGCCACGCGTCAGGAGCTGCGCTCTCAGGGACGGGGGGGTCCTCCATCATCCCCATTCCTCCCACACATTCCCCCCCCACACACACACCCCCCTCAGCCATCCCCATCCCCCTCACCTTGCCGGGGAGCTGCCTCCCCTCCGGCGGGGCCCAGGCCAGGCACGTGCAGGCGGCGCTGAGGTGCGCCGAGGGCACGTACTCGTGCCGCAGGCGGCCGCCCGCCGCCGCGTCCCACACGCGGAGGCGACCGTCGGGCCCGCAGGCGGCGAAGAGGCAGGGGCGGCGGCCGCCGCCGCCGCCGGGCGAGAAGGCGCACGGAGGGGCCGCCATGGCGGGCAGCGCGATCGTTCCGCCCCCTCCTCCCTCCCTCCCTCCCTTCACCCTCGGGCCCGCCCCCAACCCCTCACCCCGCGTGCTCGCCCTGCGCGCCTGCGCCGCGCGCGCCGACGACGCCTCGCGGCGTCGTCGGCGCGCGCGGCGCAGGCGCGCGGGGCGAGGGCACCCGGCGGCGCGAGACGCTGTTTCCCTCGTCCCGCCCTTTTCCCAGCTCCATGAGGTTCCTGCGCGCGCTGCGCCGGGCGGCCCTCGCCGCCTCCCGCCCCTCGTCCTCCTCTTCCTCCTCATCCTCCTCATCATCCTCCTCCTCTCCTCCCGCCGTAGGGAGGCCTCGTCGGAGGGCATGGGAAGCCTCGCTGTCGCCGCTGGAGCGGGTGAGGCGGCTGCTGCCGCCCGAGGAGGCGGCGGCGGTGGCGGCGGTGGCGGTGTCGCCTCAGGGTCCCTCCGAGAAGGAGGAGGAGGAGGAGGGGAAAGAGGTGATGGGGGAGATGGGAGCCACCACCGCGGGTGCGCTGCCCGCGCCGTTCCGCGCCGGGGAGCTGGCGCTGGCGGAGCTGCGGAGGAAGTACCACAGGACGCTGAAGGTGATGTGCCTGCTGGCGAGCGGGGCGGCGCTGACCAGCCCCGCCGGCGTCCTGCCCCACGGCGACATCATCGGGAAGACGCCCGGGCAGATGCTGCGGACGTCGGCCGGGGCGAGGGTGCTGCTGAGGAGGCCCTCGCTGGAGGAGTACGTGCTGCTCATGCCGCGGGGGCCCACCATCGCCTACCCCAAGGTGGGTTTGGGGGGGACAAGTTCCTGGCGGGAGGGTGGGAGGATCTCGCCTTTCGTTTTTTTTTTTTTTTTTTTCGAGGCTGGTGACCCGCGCCGTGGTTCTCTCGCCCCCGCAGGATGTGAGCGCGATGTTGATGATGATGGATGTCCACCCGGGAGACACCGTGCTGGAAACCGGCAGCGGGTCTGGCGCTATGAGCTTGTTCCTGTCACGAGCGGGTGAGGTCCTGGTTTTAGAAAACACAGAGTTTATTTATTTCCTTATCCACCTTGCCTTCCTTTTGACCAGATACTCGTGGTTCTCATAGTACTATTCTACCTGAAAGGAAGTTGTCGTGAGGTGGGTATCAGTCTCTTCTCCCAGGCGACCAGCAGTAGGACAAAAGGGCACAGTCTTAAGCTGTGCCAGGGGAGGTCTAGGTTAGACAGTAGGAAGAAGTTCTTTACAGAGAGAGTGATCGTGCATTAGAGTGGGTGGCCCAGAGAGGTGGTAGAATCACTGTCCCTGGAGGTGTTTAAGAAGAGACTGGATGTGGCACTGAGTGCCATGGTCTATTAGACAGTGGGGTGTTAGGTCAAAGATTGGGCTCAGTGATCTCAGAGGTCTTTTCCAACCTGATTGATTCTGTGATTTCGTTCTTAAAAGCTTTGCTGCACTTCACGTGTTCACACGTAGTTTGTTGAAGGAAAGTTACACCAGAGCCGGGGCAGGGACTACAAACCATTTTGACTACTTAGAGGGCTGTAGTGCAGACAGTTATAGAAGGCCCTGCAGAAAACTGAGTTTCAGCTGTAATGATTTTTGGCGTTGGCTTAATCATACTAATTTTTCCCATATCTTATTTTTCTAAGTTTCTTTTTCTTCATCTTAATGGACCACGTGAGTAATCCAGTTGCTGGTTACCAGTGGAAATTCTTCTGTGGGTGAACACTTGTTTTTTCACATTACAGCCAGCCTGGTTCTGTGTAGGTCTCAGTGCTCTGAAAGGCAGAGAGCCCTTGCACTCAGCCATGTGAGCGAGGGTGAAACCTCAGCCTTAAATTTCAGCTCATTGTAGGTACCCTGTCAGTGGACCACATTTCAGGATAATCTGGTTTATGGGCTCCTGATAAAACAAAATCTTTAAAGAAAGGAAACAAAACCCCCACTGTTGTTTGCAATATTAAAAGATGTGGGAGGGTAAAGACAAGAACTTCATTAGGGATCATCTTGAACTGACAGAGCAGAAAAGCACAAGCTGCATATTGTGAAGGCTTATGCTCAGTGTTGGAGGGCACTCAGAGTAACTGAATACCTGAGCTGTGAAACTAGCATGTCTTTTTTTACCATATCCCAGTGTTCATTAGGAGGCTGCATTATAGACTGCTGTCTCTCTGAAGTGTTTATGGGTTATTCTGCCTTTGTGGGCTTACTGTGTATCCTTCAGCACTTCAAAATACAGTGATACCCAACAAGAAAAACAGCTGCTACAAAGGTAAATGCTGAAATTTAAATCTAGTGGTCCATGGAAGTATTCAATTTCCAAAATGCTCATTGATCTAACAGATTTTAATAATGTCTTTGTGTTACTCATTTTCTTTTCCATTCTTTCTTTAATCATTCCTAGAAACTACTGACATGCAGTAGTAGACAAAGTTAAGGCTGTGGTATTTGCCATGACTTTAAAATAATGAAGAGTTTTGCCTACTTATTTTAACTAGTTCTTATTTTTCCTATTAAAAAGTCAGTTACAAAATGTAAGAATTATTTTGAACGAGCAGAAGACTGTCCCCCAATGTGAACAATTTTATTCTTCTGATGTTTCTAAACTGATAATCGGAAGTAATAAAGACTTCATGCTGCAATTCTGTAACTGCTTAAGGTGATCCAAGGCAACCTGCTGAAACCCTCTCTTCTTACATCTTGGCTCCAGCCTTTGCCTGGTGAGCTGGATCAAGGAGTGACTGTTGGGAAATACATCACTGCTTTTATTCTGTTATCTGAACGGATTCACAGTGGGATCACACAGGTGAGGGAAGGAGCCTGGCAACTTCAAAGTGGAATGGCTTAGAAAGGCACAGAACGTGACCCCCTGAGCTGCTGGTTGCTGAAAGCTGCCTGTGCCAATTCTGAAGTAGCAAGGGGAGAGAGAAGCCAACAGCGTGATAGCTTAGAGGAACTGGAGTAATACAAGGACAGAATAGCAGTGCACAGACTGCAGTCTGCCTGGACAGCCTGGTAATGCGTCCTTTATGAGGAGCACTGTGTATTGGACTTAACACGATAAATTTCAGGATAGTAAATTTAGACTTAAATAATAAAATAATTTATTGCTATTGCAAACAATAACAGGAAAATTACACAAGCCTATGTAAATCAAAGAGTACACTTGAAAACTTGTCTGTAGGGCGGAGATCAGTGAGCAGGTCTGGCGGTTTTCTTAGCCTTTCCCCAACCCTGAGGAAAAACAGATGAAGAACAAACTATGCACAGAACGAGGACTGTCAAAAAATTTTAAACTATCAGTTTCAAATCTGAATAACAACAGAAGCAGTCGCTGTCTGTCAGCTTTACAGCGTCTGTGAGCTGTGACCACTGTTGCAGCGTTCTCAGCTGGTGCCTCTGGTAGCTCTGGCAAGGGAATCACAGATGCTCAAGTTGTCTTTTGCTGCAGGAGTGACTTCAGGAGGAAATCTTGGGAACAGTCTGTACTACTATAACTGCTTTATTTCATCTGTGGATTGATGGATTTCTGTCTGTAAAAGAACTAACATGGCACTTTTTCTGCATATGTTTTAAATGTAAAGAAAAAAATAGATGGTAATTGATTGCCTCATATGTGATTATTTCCCAAAGTGAGGTTGAGATGTAAATGTGTACTTATGTTGTAGGCTGTGCTTTTTTTAAAGTGTAGCGTCTTTTGTTTGTTTTCAGTTGGGCCCAAAGGACGTGTTATAAGTTATGAAATCAGAGATGATCATCATAATTTAGCTAAGAAGAATTACAGACACTGGCGAACTGCATGGGAAATAGGACACACGGATGAGTGGCCAGATAATGTGGATTTCATCCTTAAAGACATTTCAACAGCTGCTGCAGATATGAAATCTGTAACACTTGATGCAGTGAGTCCAAAAAGTCCATTTGACATGTATCTTTTCTATATAAATTAAAACCTCACACTTAGAGCAGGATTCCCATATCTAGTTTAACATGAGAAAAAGCAATCACATCTTCATCAGTGAAAGAAACGCTGTGGGTTTTTGTCTGATTTACAAGTATTTTCAAGGTTTCAGTTACGGTTTCCCAAATGAAAGAGTGATAAAGCTGTACTATAGAAGTATTAAAATTAATTACTGCAGTCTTGTAAGCAAAGACCAACTTACTTTCTTATATTTGTCAGAAACTGATATTTTTATAACTGAGATGTATATTTCAAACATTAAATTTCAGAAGAATGCGTAACTTTATTAAAAATGTAAATATATAACCACTTTGCTATCAGCTCTATAGAATGCACAGTGTAACTCAAGCACAAGTTAAAGAATGCTGTTGCTTGCTCTCCTGTCCTGCTTCTTGTATCCAGATTTTCTAAATGGAGACATGCTGGGGAAAACAGCTGTATGTTAACTACTCTTCCCTGTAAAGCAGATGAAGTGCTTACAACTACTTACTTACTAGATGCTTTAAACAACTGACAATTTTTTAAAATGGTTTAACCAATACATATATAGCATAAAAATACCATTTTAAAAAACTTTACCAATCAACAGGAAATATCAGATACAGGATATACCATTGTCTTATGGTTCGAATAGCTTTCTAGTAGAAGATGGATAAATTGCCAAAGACAAGTTTTAAATCTTGAAACAACCAGCAAGTTAGATGTTGAGACCATAGCATGCTCTTTTCCTTATAAAGATGCATTTGAACTGTCTTTTCTTTTTTAACACTTGAGAAATAGATATTCATATGTATTAGTAAATGTAGTCCTCTGAAAGTTTTTTATTAATGTCAGCATTGTGGAATTTAATTAGCAGAAGGTTTAACTTCCTACAGGCCTGCTTTGTTGGTGAAATGCTACTTGTTTTGATAGAAATTCACTGAGAAGTAGCAAGGACTTGGTTTTGTAGCAGTGTGGACCTCAGCTTTTGAGAGGCATGGTTACATACTGCTGTTATATGCATCTGTTTTCCATAAACATTTTTTTTCCAAGTGTTAGTGTATTACATTGGTAGTAATACACGTTTTCCC